TATGTCAAATGAGGTTTGTTTACACATCGTTGTAAGTAAGTATGTATAAAAATGGCAACAATTTTTTATGTTACCAAGTGGACCACACCTTTCATAGAAATACATAAACATATCGTGCAAATTAAGAACATTTATAAATGGTAATCACTCTGTTTCTATGACAACCTTCTACTTAAGCTATTTTTATTCGTTACCAGCTATCGGGAATACTTTGTATTTGCACATTCTTAATTGGCTTGGCATCTGGAATATCGGTCCTATGGAATAAGCAAAAAAAAAAAAAACCGAACGTTGTTAGCCCCCCTTATAAGTTACGTCAAAGAAAGTTTTACAAAATGTGGGCATTAAAATTAATCTGTGATTTTTCACAGTAGCTGTATCAACCGCGTATACATAGAAACGATTATAGAAATAATTGTTGAGGTGCAGTTATCAACGACTGAGATAAATGCAAACGATCAACTTGGCTAGCTGGATTTTTTCCAGATCTATTCATGTTTCACTTTCCTTGTCAAGTAGGAATTTAGAAACAAATTAATGATATGTATTTATAAGTAACGACGAAAATCTGTCAAGTGCACACATTTCAAATTTCGACGATCCCGCAACACCAAACAAAAATTAATCCTACTTAATCATATTACATACCATAAATTTTTATATGACGGGATGTTTATCATATTTTAGTTAAGCTTCCGTTTAATTATGGATACACCACGAATTCCCTTGTCAGTTAACATCCTGTTTTTCCGTTATCAACACTGTCAGTGATTGAATACATTATACCATTTTTAAAACAAATCTTCGACAATGTAATCTCTGAATGTGACAACATAAAGAAAATTATAAACAACATGTAATGGCACATAATACAACACATTTCGCAATCTCTACAAATGTATTGTGATACTGTCCATAATACTATAACAGCAACAACAAAAAGAAAAACACTCGCAAGTATGAGGTACATTTGCAAGTGTGTTTGACGCTGTAGAGAATCATTTTTACGATACAACAAACGAAAGTTCTAAAAAAAAACCGGGACATGTCTACAATGATAGCGAACACTGCACATCCGTCGAACGACAACCATGAAATCATCCAAGTCGCTCGTTTATTTTAATTATGATGATTCATTTCAGCCGTGAGTCTACTTATAATATCACGCTGATAAAGTAACAAACATGAGGGACAACTTTTAAATTTAAATTATCAACGCTAACCAGTTTAATGACATGCACTCTGAATGTTTATTCCACACATTGATGGTCGTTTTACAATTGCCACTTACTGCAGGTCAGCATCAAACGAAATGAGACTGGTAGTCGCCGACTTGCCAACAAAACCAAAACAACCATTATTCTTAACACAAATACCTCCTCTCAGAACAAACAAGACAAAGTTTTAGATCGATGCTGATGTATTTTAGAGACAAGGGAAAAAGTTTTCGCTTATGGTTGCGACTTTGCTTTATTATGAAATATTGTCAGTTATCTTAAGACAAAGGACATCGGGATTGACGTTACGTCCCAGGGGAACTTTGAAAGGAACTCGAAACACCTTCACGTTAAAGTTTGGAAAAGTTTCAACAATATATTTTAATTCTAGGCGCTCTAAAAGGTAAGGGCTTCTAAATCTCGAATAATAATACTGTGAAAGAAATAAATATAATAGAAATATGGAGTTTTGGGTGGTGTTCGTAACTTCTGTCAAAGTAGTCACCTTATGAAAAATTAAATACATTTTAAGTAGTCTGAAATACTGGAAATTTGGTTTTCTCTTATTACTGTACACTTATCGTATACAAATAAACGCTTTAAAAATATAACTGAGTTTGCTCCGGGTGCAAAAAATCATAAATTTTTTATATACATTTTTATAATACAAGTAAAATACCGCTGTTTAGCTAATAAAACGTAACAGAATCATAGGTGTAAATTAAAAATAGATCCAAAAGTACATTCATTACAATTTATGGACAGTGTTTACAAGGTATATAAAAGCAACATCTGGAAGTTGGAACCCTACAATACACGGGTATACACAATTTGCACAAAAAACTTTATTTGAATTTTGTGGGTTAGCCAAATCTCTCAAGGTTCATCTCTTGTGAATTGAACAGATAGGTACATATATCAAAAAGAGAAAACCAACCACTACAGACAAAGATAAATATATAAAGGAAAATTATATTAAATTTATAGGGAGCTACAGAGAATACAATACGTCTTGTTTGCCGAAACACAAAGCATTGTCTCAACATTTCAAAATACGATATTATAAACAAAAAACCCTCGGCTTGACAACAATCAACGCGATATTCTGGCTTTTCTCGGTAATCTCAATTACACGATGAATGAAAGCTGTCAGTAAGAGTTCCACCATTTAGGTAATATGGATTTAGTTCTACGCTCGAATGCACATCGTTAAGAGGATTAATCACGGTTGGTCTTCATAAATTCAAAGAGAAGCGCTATGTTTAGAAATGAAATCTATAGGCAAAACTATCTGCGTTATTATTACACAACAATAAACTGTCACGAACAAACGTAAAAGCGATAGACACCGAGGGGAAACAAATGGAAACGATAACTGAAAATGAACCGTCAGTTAACGTTCCTGAAATGAAAATCGACACAATGCGAAGTTTCCAAAGAATGACTCATATGAAACGCCGAAGGGATCATCAGCGGAAATCGTTATTGAATAATTCAATAAAAATTCTGTCTAAGTGAATTCCCCCAAGCTGCCACCATTTATTTTTAAACTATAGATTACTAACCCACCACACTTATATAAGGTTATAATTTTAAAATTGATGCTTATTATTAAACAAAAGAAATATAAGATGACAATACTTTCTCTATAAAATATGTAGTATAATTTTAGCCAAATACTTTTATTTTATTACTTTAATCGTCGTAAAATATATACTTTTAGGTGTTCATAATTAACAATAATGTTGTAAGTTGTCGGTAGTAAATTCGCCAAGGTGAATTTTTGCATTTCCGCAGCCTGAAGGCTCAATAATTTGTAAAGAACATGGATCAAATCACTTGTGGTGGGTTTATTTGGAGAGCTCAATAAACCGCTTCCGATTTTAGTACTAATAATTTACAGTCCTGACTCGCTCGTGGGTAGCTTACCTGAAAGGATCAAGCTTTTTATGAACTGAGTTTCAGCGATGAATGCAGCTTCGATGGGTATCATCAATAAGCCATCAGAAGTAATTTGGTTAATGTTTATGATCCCAGGACTACAAGCGTACTCATACACAAATATTACTATTAACACCCCAGTCTGTCGTAAAAAAAATTATGGCATGTGAAATTTGACAGGTCTGATTAAGCCAGGTCCAAGATAAACTGCTGTTACATTACATATATGACACCCAGAGATCAATAAAAAACACGATCAAAGGCAGCTAGACTTTTGAAGATTTGTCTTTCATGGATTTTTGGTCCTGTCAATTTGAAAATAACGTTAATTATGACATTTGAACTTTCGTTGTCAGGTAGAACAAATCAGTGCCCACATCGTACGAATCATTTTTGAAATCCCTATATCTTACACTTTATATACCATTCTATCAGAATTGAAATAAATTCTAGTAAAAATTTAGTTCAATTTTTGGACCGCACCTTTTCACCGTAAAAGAGGCTCCATTCTCTCATTATCTAAATGAACTTTCATTTAAATAAATGAATATAAGCATTAAAATAAAGTTTCACAAGCTGCCAACATTTTAGAAGTTATGGCCTGTGTATTCTCAGTTGATCCAAATGATTTTAAAAGCATTCAGGCTTGTAATTGTATTTGAATTAGAAGGATAAAAGCAAATCTTCGGTTGGTCAAAATAATTTCACGGATTTTTCATACAATGCAAAACAACAATAATAACGTCATAATTACTTGATTAATTGTAAATTGAAGTAGTTTGATTAGCTAGAGTAACAGGAAATCACCTTTTGTCTGGGTAGTGTCGGGTCGGGATCTCCGGAAGTAGCCAAAACTCGCTTATTCCGAAAGTTTATAAATAAAAGATTGTTGAATTGTATCTAATGATGTACGTGTTCAAATTGGCGAAGCCTTGATAAACAGCCGACGAAGGTTAAGGCTACGATGGAGCTCAATGACCGTCACCGTCGTCTGAATAACGATCAATAAACGGGTGCATGCAAAAGCTCACCACCCCCACGCGTGGGTCGTTTATTCATCGACTTGGATGAATGAGGGGGCGACTAATACTACAAGAGCGGAACCAAACAGAACGGAAAAATAATATCCATTTCCATCGAGCGTAAAGCGATTAAACGCAGTCATTAAGAAAGCCCCAATTAAGACCATCTCCAACATAAACAAACCTTCGACGTATAAATACATAAATTGCCGGATTTTCGGCTGCACAACCGAATTCCAAGTAAGGCGAGCCGAACGATGGTCCCCGGTAAACAGGTTTCGTGGTGAATTCGATTAAAATTAATACTGTCGCAAGTGCAGTGTGCGTTTCTAAAAAAGGCGAACTCGATTTATTTTTACTGGCCGAATTCTCGGCAACGACGGACGCCATTGCGCCGCCTTGCAGGAGTGCGCTTCCAGCACCTGGTGCACGCATCTAGAGTGCATAGGCAGGGTCCGTATCAGGAGATAAATGCCGGTAGCGACAAATACCGCGGTCGCCACTTACAATTTCTACACGTCGCATAAAACGGCGGCCATCTTGAATTCAGGCCGGCTCTCGGAGAAAAGGCCGCAAATTCGCGATTTTTACATAAACCCACGCAATTTCGGGCCCCGACGAGGCTTGCTCGCCCGAGGCGACCTTTCCCTTCGACCCTTTCGCGGATTCCGGGGCGGAATCGCCGACTCGGCCGACCAAGCCCTACGGTCTTTTGTTCGCGAAAACGTCGATTTTCGGCTTATCGTTGCATCGATTGGGACGTTTCCGGCTTGCGGCGGAGAAACGGTCTATCTGAATGCGAGAAATGTGCAAGACTTACGTCAAATCCTTCCGATCTCGCCCAAACATTTCCATCATGTCCTGCGATGGCGGCTTTTGTTACACATCTTGAAGCCAAAAGTTGCTTGTCTACGTAATCCTGCCAGCTCATTTTGATTAAGGAAATTTAATTTATCAACTCACACACGGAGCAAGCACTAATTTGCAACAAATACAGCAGTTGCCGCACAGCAATTACAGCAAACTGAAGCCGAATAGTTGTCTGGACAGGATTGCAGTAACGGAAGTATCGGTTGACAACTGAGCAGACGCAGGACGAGCGCGCGCTGCCAACATAATGAAGAAAACTAGAGCGGGGAATTCAAATTCCCAGATTAATTAGTCCGCCCACGCACTTCACCATTCTCGTACTTTCACAAAGTCGAATTTTAGGTGGTCAAGTAGAAATAGAAGTTGGAATTATAGTTTTATTGAAACAACATTATACAAATGAAATGATGAACAAATAATTGAAAACTTTATTTCTACAACTAGGAATTACAAAATATGAGGAATTGAAATAAATGTAGCACGATAGATCCTAACTTTCTACTAAATAACACTTGATTTGGAAAATATAATTTATTACTAAACTCATCTCCAGTCTTAAAGTTACAGGTAAAATAAATAAAAAATATATATTCTCAGTTAAAAACTTATGAAATCTTGTTGTCAAGGAGTATGGAAATATGGAAAGTTAGGTAAAGCAAAACCACTGATCAACTTATTAAAATGGAATAAAGATCTTTATTTTCCAAAATCCCACAGGTATTGTTGCTGCCTAGAAATAGAAGAACCAGTATGAGTGTCAACGAATTAGAAATATCAACAAATTTAAGGGTTTTGGTTTTTGGAGAGGTGTTCAATAAAACGTCGAAACTTTTATTACCAGTTTTATTAGGGTTTTAATACAAAAAAAATCTCCAAACATTAAACACAGAACGGTAATGATGTTTCCTTCTAATTCTTTTATATGTATAATAACCTTTCCAGAAGCCAACTAAACCCCTGTGGAGACGACAGTACTGCTCGGAGGCGAGAAGAAACCGACCAAACTTGAACTCCCTAAGAGGGAAAATAGGGTGCTCCGCAGCCCCCATGCAGGAGCGCGTCTCCTTAATTATAAATACTAATTATCTAATATAATTTAAACTAAAAACTAGACAAATACAATTATAGGGTTAACCAATTAAAGAAGGAGGGAGAAACGACAAATATGTATATATGTATATAAAATTGACACACTCAAAAAGTTTATTTATTTAGATAGGCAGCACTGCGCTTGAACACGGCGCTAGCCTAAAGAGACGAATTGGCGCACAATATTCGCATTAAGTCGCAGTCTGAGCACGGGCAGCTAATACTCACACCAAAAGAAACTCTAGGCAACGTCGGATCACAGCAACACCGCATTTATATCAGGTCGGCCACATTCATTGGCATTTCGTCAATTTTTGTATTATAAAACTGCTCAATGTCCTTGAGCGTACGTTTGTCTTCTTCTGTAACGAAGTTGATGGCCACGCCCTTACGACCGAAACGTCCGCCACGACCAATCCTGCAAACCACAAAATAATCAAAACACGGAAACTAAAAACTGTACAATAACTAAACAATCACCAGTTTACTAAATTACTTTTTTTTTATATTGTTACTGTTAGTGATCGTTTGGTCCAACCAACCAGAATAAAGTTAAAACTACTTATTGAAAAATATTTCTTCAAACATCCAAAACAAATTTTGATTAATGAAATTAAGACAAAATTTTCGAGTGGTTGCAATTGTTGAAAAACAATATTCAATTTACATTCACTCAAAATTTCTATTTTGTAACTGGTCATATGTGACTATATTTCCAAAAACCAGGAGTCAGATGACCAACTTTTGTTAGTCATGAATACTATTTTTGGGAATTCTCCATCATGTACCTCTTTTCTAAGTAAGTAGTTTTGAAATATTACTCATCAATTAAAACGAAACATGTTCACTAATCCAATAAAATAAAATAAAAAGCCTCTAAAGCAATAATAATTAAACCACACAATTTCAAATTGCACTTTTCGATGGTAATATAGATTTCATCGTATCATTCCAAAAATATTGCGTATTTATGCTGCCGGTGTAAGATTTAAAAGTATTCGGTTTGAAATTACATTTTTTTTATCAAAAAATTGCAAAATTTCAGTACTGATCATAAAAAAATGGTAGGAGATATTGAAGAAATGAGTCTGAAACCAACTTCTGGAGACTGACTCTATAAGAAAATGTCTTTCGTTAACTTTCGAAAACTGTCGAAAACTGGCCGAAAGTTTAGTGGGGGAGGGGAATTGAAAAATTTCGTTTTTGAAAAAATGTCCAAAAAATTCAGGGGTATAGATTCTCAAAACATGACGTATTTATGTTCCCGATTCAAGATCTAAAAATATAGTAATGTTGGAATGGAAAAATGGTGGGAGCTGTCAAAGAAATAAGTCCAAAACCAACTTCTGGGGGTCAAATTTGATAAGAAAATGTAATTTTAGCTAACTTTCGAAAACTGTCGAACATTGGCCGACAATTTAATTAAATTTTGCTTTTGAAAATGTTACCAAAAAAATCTCAAAAAATTCTGGGTTATAGATTTCGTCGTGCTGATTCCCAAAAACATAGCGTGTTTATGCTTCCGGTTCAAGATTTAAAAATAATCAGTTTGATTTTTTTTATCCAAAAAAATTGGAATGTTTTCAGAAGTAAGTTCGAAACTAAGTTCTGGAGATGGAAATCTATTAGATTAGTCTAGCTTAAATTTCGAAAATTGGTCGAATTTTTGCAAAATTAAAAAATTTTGCTTTTGGAAGTTGCCAAAAATTTTTTTTTTTTTTAATTTTGAAATCTAGATTTCGTCCTGCTAATTCCCAAAACATGACGCGTTTATGCTCCCACTTCAAGATTTAAAATTATTTGATTTGATTTTTTTTTAATCCAAAAAATTGCGGGCGGTTCTGGAAAAATGGTGGGGGCTATCGAAAAATGAGTCCTAAACCGACTTCTGGAAGTCGAAAACTATAGAAAAACGTCTCTCGTCAACTTCGAAAATTGGCAGAAATTTTCAAAATTAAAAAAATTTGCTTTTGGAAAAATTGTCAAAAAAATTCCCAAAAAATGCTGATATAAAAATTTCGTGGTGCTAATTCCAGAAACATGGCGTGTCTATGCTTGCGGTTCAAAATTTAAAAATATTCGGTTTTGTTTTCAGTGGGCGGTCCTGGAAAAATGGTGAGTGCTATCGAAGAAATGGGTCCAAAACTAACTTCTGGAGGTCAAAATTGATAAGAAAATGTCTTTTTAGTAAACTTTCGAAAATTGGCCGAAAATTTAATTGGGGGAGGCTGATTGAAAAATCTTGCTTTTCAAAATGTTGCCAAAAAAAATCCCAAAAAATTCTAGGTCATAGATTTCGCGGCACTGATTTCAAAAACATGGTGTGTTTATGCTCCCGGTTCGAGATTTAAAAATAATCGGTTTGATTTTTTTTATACAAAAAATTGCAATGTTTTCAGAAATAAGTCCGAAACCAACTTCTAAAGATCGAAATCTTAGAAAATGTCCAGCTAAACTTCCAAAATTGGGCGAATTTTTGCAAAATTTAAAAATGTTGCTTTTGGAAGTTGCCAACAAAATTGCTAAAAAATTCTGAGATCTAGATTTCGTGTGCTAATTCCCAAAACATGGCGCGTTTATAGTCCCAGTTCAAGATTTAAAAATATTTGGTTTGATTTTTTTTATCCAAAAAATGCAATGTTTTCAGTAGGCGGTTCTGGAAAAATGGTGGGGGCCATCGAAAAATGAGTTCAAAATGAGTCTAAAACCAACTTCTGGAGGACGAAAACTATAGGAAAACGTCTTTCGCTAAACTTCGAAAATTGGCAGAAATTTTCAAAATTCAAAAATTTTACTTTTGGAAAAAGTGAAAAAAAATTCCAAAAAAATTCTGATACATAAATTTCGTCGTGCATTTCCAGAAACATGCGTGTTTATGCTTCCGGTTTAAAATTTTAAAATATTCGATTTGATTTTTTTTTAATCCCAAAAATTGTAATATTTTCGGTTAGGAATTCTGGAAAATGGTGGGAGCTGTCGAAGAAATAAGTCCGAAACTAAGCCTCTGGAGGTCGAAATCTACCAAACAAAGTTTTTAGCTAATCAAATATCAGCCGAATTTTTCAAAATTCAAAAATTTTGCTTTTGGAAAAGTTACCAAAGAAATGCCCACAAAAATCTGGGATATAACTGATTCCAAAAACACGGTGTGGTTATGTTTCCCATACAAGATTTAAAAATATTCGGTTTGAAAATATTTTTTCGCAAAAAATATTAAAAGACGTAATCAACCTTATTTGAAAAATAAATATATACTACAAGCCTGAAAGCAATACCGAATTTCAACGCATGGTTTTTTATTTTTTGGAATGACATCAATAGATAAAACAAAATTTAGTAAAAATTGTGAAACCTGTGTTTGTAGGTTAATAGGAATGGACAAAGTACACTTAAATTTTCAAAGTACTTAATCCACTCAAATTTCTGATAAATTTTCTAAGATAGCAATGGGGAACCCAGATTTTCGTACTCTGAGAATTGTAAAACACCGACAAAACGTGAACGGTGGAGATTATCCTCAAGTTCAACTATTCACCGGAAAATTGGGGAATTTAGTGAAAAAATTAATCTAAACATTAGAGGCGTAAAAATTGCCTATTACAGCAAAGGCAGTGAATATTATAGTTTTTGCATGATGCACCATAGAGATCAGTCATTCATAAATAAGTACTGCTAAGAAGTAACTGTTAAACGAAGTCATTTATCTGTAACTTAATTATTTAAATCCATTCTGTGGAAAGTTGCCGCGGCTGACGAAGGTAACGGCACACCTACACCAAGAGAATGGTGCTATATACTTTTAAAATTAAGGGTGGTTGGGTCCTTGCGTGGTTAGATTTGTAAGTGCTCCGAAGAAAAATAAATCTACGAAAAACTGTGGCATAGTTTTAAGACACTTTTACCTTTGGCATGCTCGCAACAGCATTTTTCAAAGTATTAAAAAATTTAATTATTATTAATTATTAAAAGTATAATCGTGGAATAAATTCTCTTTTACAACTGTTCTCGACTTTTATTTTAGGACAGCAACTGCATCAACTGGAGTTGAAATTCTTTTTTCAAAACGCAATCACTCTGAATCACGTCTGACATTATAATTGAACCGACGGACGGCGGTAATAATTAATCTGTACATTTAAAATACATAGTTAAATATCTCTTAAATTTTTAAAGAGGATTACAAAAACAAATGTCAAACCCACGTGTACACATTACTTATTTAAAAGTAGTTTCGACCTAACAGGCACGTCCTTATAAAATCAAAATTCTGTAAATAAATATCTGATGATACTTGAAAAATGTACGTAAAGGTCACTTTAATTTAAACGAGTTGCAAACAAAACGTTTATCACAAAATTTACAAAGTGTAAATGCTACTGAAGTTTTGTTTTCGTTCCTCAACCGCTTTTTCCTTATATGTGTACTCAAACAGAGCAAACAGCCGTATCAGATACGACAGTCCCAAATCAAACATTTCGTAAAAGATAAGCACTCTGATCTGACTCATACTTCGAATCTGTCGCTGAATTGATTTTCGCGTGATTTCAAACTGCTAACGCCAGAATGTGTACTTTTTATTTCCTGTATGTATCCCACATTATTTCAATTTAATCCGGATATATGAACTAACGCAAGTGTTTTTTTTTAATTTAATTGAAAATGTAATCAATTTAACCGAATTTTATAAATTGTCATGAATTACTTCTTGAAAATCAACATACGTAATTTTTTATTAATAAATTAAATTAGAATTACGTCACCAAGGGTTCAAATTTCCGTTCACATGCAGAAGAAAAATTCCATTGCATCAAAAACAATCCCAACGAAACAAAGAATAGTCAAGTTCCAGCAATGACGTCATTTATCATTTATATTAAGCATCTTCCGATGACGGTCACTGACTGAGCAATCATGAATAAACAAATGAGATATTTATGCTAATTATAAAACTATTGAACTGATCTCAAAACGAGTTAAAATTCGAAGTATGTCTTGAGATAAATTCACTTTCTATTTAGTTAGAATAATTACTGTTGGGGTTTTTCAAATCTGCACCCATTAAAGACCGTTCAAGATAAAAGTAGAGATAGCATTCATAAATCATTACGTAAATAATCCATATTAACAAATCTGACAAATCTATTGTCGCTAACGCAAAACTATAAAAATTAGGACAAGCTTAAAAATGAACAAATGTAAAAATACCATACCTATGAATGTAGTTTTCCCTGTTTGAAGGCAAATCGTAATTAATAACTAATGAAACTTGTTGAACGTCTATCCCTCTAGCAAGCAGATCCGTCGTGATTAAAACCCTAGATGATCCTGTCCTAAACTGACGCATAATAACGTCACGTTCTCTTTGTTCCATATCACCATGCATAGCTGACACCGTGAAGTCTCTTTTGTGCATGTTTTCAGTAAGCCAATCTACCTTGCGGCGGGTATTGCAAAAGATTACAGCTTGAGTAATGGACAATGTATCATACAAATCGCACAGCGTTTCCAACTTCCAATCCTCTCTCTCCACATACACGAAGAATTGTTTGATACCTTCTAGTGTTAATTCCTCTTTTTTTACGAGGATACGTACGGGACTACGCATAAACGACTTCGTTACGTCCAACACGTCGGCAGGCATCGTAGCCGATAGAAGGATAACCTGCACAGAAAAATAAAAAACTAAAACTTGCCCCAAACCGGAAATTTGAAGCAAACATTTAAAAATATTTAGCTTGTTATAGCCCATTGTTAAAGAATTTGTTAAACGTCGGATTTAAATATCAAGGACGCGACGAGTTTGTAACATTAATAACTGTGCCAGGCCAAGTTCACGGCAAAAAATTTTTACTGCACTTAAAAAATTGGTGTTTCATTACACAATTTTTAATTAAGATTTTTTCACTAGACGTACTTGTAAAATTCAACCTGTCCAGCTATTTATTTTTATATTTATATAAAGTACATTCATTTTACTCGTGAATGATTTCTAACAATAGAACAATCCTCATATCAATGAAGTCCTATACATTTGCTGGCCTTTTAACAATTTTTATGGGCGGTAAATATTAAATATGACCCACAAAAGTGACCAAATGGGATAATGTATTTATAATAACTGGGCATTACATAAAAAAGAAAGAATAGCGAGTCATAGTATAAACTGAAGGCGCAAAAATGAAAACAAGAAACCACGACGGCTAGTAAAAATTTAAAGAACACAGTGAAGACTTGCACAATTTAATCACTTATTTGAATTTTAACTTTCCTTTCAATCGCTATTTCAATTTTAATTACAATTTTTGTATCAAAAGCAGTATGAAATAACATACAAAATTAGATTATTCAGTTATCAATAATTCTCTTGATATATAATTTACAATTATACTGAAGTATTTACTCAGAATTTAATCTTTGCAAAATTATAACTGGGTTATTCCCCAGCAAATACTGATAATGAATTTTAGAAATTGGTAGCCTACAAATATGCATAAGTACTCAATAAATGGTAACTTTTGAGATAAGATTATGCTTCCTACTAATTTATCCACACGTGGAACGGGAAATTTCATTTTCCCATTTATTATCTTATTCTCTCACTGTGAACGTTTTGTGTTCACTGATGCCATACAAATGTTAATAGCATGCAAAAACCCTAATTTGCGACTTGCGTAATTCCCCAGACATAAAACGTTACATTACCTGCACATCAGAGTTGAGCATTCTGAAGACATCGTGAATCTGATCCTTGAAACCACGAGACAACATCTCGTCGGCTTCATCCAAAACAAACATCTTAATATAGTTGGCCCGCAGCGACCTCCTATTGATCATATCGTAAACCCTCCCCGGAGTGCCCACGACGACATGAACACCAGCCTCGAGCTTCCTCATGTCTTCCCTCACGTTAGTGCCTCCAATGCAAGCGTGACATTGCGCATTCATAAAGTCACCAAGAGCAATGACAACTTTCTGAATTTGTTGCGCTAATTCACGTGTAGGAGCTAAAATCAAAGCCTGGCATTCCCTAAGAGTAGTGTCTATCTGTTGGAGGATTGATATCGAAAAGGTGGCCGTTTTGCCCGTTCCGGATTGCGCCTGCGCAATTACATCGTGGCCCTTCACACAGGGTATAATGGCCCTCTGCTGGATAGCCGAAGGCTTCTCAAAACCGTAGGCGTAAATGCCCCGAAGCAGCTCCTCCTTCAGGTTCATGTCGTCGAAGTTGTCTACGACCTCCTCCCAGTTGGACTCGATCACACCGTCGGGGTCCATGCCCGGGGGACCGTCGTACGCCTGAGATTCCTTCTCGGAAGCGGGACCGTTTTTGTCCCATTCTTCTGTTCTAAAAGCAGCAGAGATTTAGTGAGCAACCTTGGTCGCAGGTGACTAAACGCATGCCGCGTAACATATGTCGGGCAACGGCGGGCGGGCGCAGCGCTCTCGGGGGCGGCAGCGCGGCCCCAATTACATAATCCACATGGTGCCTTCACGTGGAGCCGGGGACGGCGGCGGCGGCGCTGCGGCGGCCGTCGTCCGCGCGCGGCTGAATCTATTTTTGGGCCGGGTTTGGCCGCGTCACGCCATTTTCTGCGGCAGGGCCGGACAGCCGCAATATTTAAAAATTGCTGAACATGTCCATGCGCCATGTTGGCATGAGGCAGTCGAGTTCACGCCGAAAAATTCCACGAAAAGTGGACAAAGTACACGCCTTGTGGCCGTCCCGACGCCACCAATTTGCCAAACAGAGTCACGGCGACGTCGTGAGTTACATTTTGACATAAAACACGACTTAATTATTGTCAAAAAAACAAAACTTACCTTCTTTCGTTCACTGACATGATTCACTCGCGTTGAGTTAAACGGAAAGACTTCCACTGCTAGATGCAAGGTGTTATATTCCTACGCCAAGGTAATTCCTTACCCTGAATGTGCCAATGTTTCTTGCTAAGGCCCTTTTCCCAAATGAGACCGTTGAGGTGGTGATTATTGTTTAAGTACTGTCTTCAGTAGTTCGGTGGCAGTCAAAATACCGACGAAAGTCTGCTGAATGAGCTCGTGTAATTTTTTGTCGCGGACAAATATGGTCGTTGTACCGTTCTCCCACGTCGGAAGTTGCCCTCACTGTCAAATCGCAGCGCGAAAATTTAAAGATCTCTTGACAAATTCACTGCGAATTTTGTCATTTTAATGTTCGAATTCCGATGTGACAACAAATGTGAAAGACAAACGAACGACATATTTTTATAAGCAAAAATTACTACTAATGGCATAGACGTACGTACGTCAAATAAAACTGCCAACATTTGCTTACGCTTTATAACAAAATGCCAGAACGTCACCAACATTGAATTTCATTAGAATCGTTCAGCTGCGAATAAACCAAAATTCATGAACATCCGTGTTTTTTATGCATTACTCGATACGTTAAAAATCAATGTTAAATTTTCTCACTTGATATTGGCGTGCAGTATGTCAAATATTTGTTTTACGCTGGAGAAAAAGTTTCATCAAAAGCAATAAATATAGTGCATTTTCAAATTTAATTAGTCAAAAATATAATGCATTCTTAAAAATTAAAAATTCACACGTGTAATAACACCTCATTTATGGAAAACATAAATTTATTCATCTTTCCTGAGATTTAATTAACAACAAACACATTCATTACACTTAAAATAGGTAGTACAATTAATAAAATAAGACATACATACAGCTTAATACACAGAAAACACAATGATTATTGATTACACTCTGTTTTATAATTTCTATTACATTTATTACATGATATGGTTTCATTTAACTTAACAATATATTATACAGAGTAGTGGACTTAACAAGGGACCAAAGTGGCATTTCTCCGACGGGGTCTCACCTAACACGGACCCCTTCTGTGTTATATTATAAAGAGCTAAAAGGTACTATTTAATAAATTAAGAACCCCTGACTTAAACTACCAGTCAGATTCCCGAGTTTAAATCCACCAACAACTGTAAGTACGTTCTTGTATATTTTACTAAATTGGCAAAAATCGATACTTAAATAACATCACAATGTTTGTTATACAAGTATTATTGGAAAAGTTTTAATCGTGAACTAATGAGTAACAAATCAAGTAAGTACAGAATAATATCAAATTAATATCAACGTATTTAATACACAAGATGATACATCTGTTTCTTCCTCTGGCCGACCTAGTTTGTAAAGACCAAAAGGAAACTAAGACCATTTTTAAGATTAAAACAAATTTCAAATTTTAATTAGAAAATAATCTAAAAAAGCTAGTAGGTTTACGAGACTCCAATTTAGATAGTACATACTTTTGACGTTATTTTTTCTATAAAAGTCCACAAAGTTTGTCGAAAATGACATAAGTTTTTGCTAAGTTAACTTATCTAATATGTTTATAAGAACACACCAATGAAACAGATGCATCAACTTCTAGAATAAATATTTTTTTCACTAGCAGCTTGGACGCATGCAAATGTCGACTCATTTAGTGGTAGCAAATTCAACTTTTGCTACCACGGGTTCAAAAAGAAAAATTGAGGTTATGTACGAAATGTTTGATGTGATTATTTCTTAAAAAATGAACAAATGTGTGCTACAAACATTACTTGAGTATACGCATGGTAGTTGGTAGACGGTAGAAGATAAAATGATTAACTCAGCGACAAGTATAAACGGTTTTCTTTGTGTTGAAGATTTAGATCAAGTTTGATTAGAAATCAAAACAAAATCATGTTACGTCAAAAAATTGAACGTTTGTTTTTCAGTTTATTGTCTTATGGTTTCTACTAGTGAAAAAAATAGTATATTAACCACGGTTGCAAAGCCACTTCTAGACCTCGCACTTAGAGCCCTCGACACTGCGCGTCTCGGGTTCTAATTTGCGCTCGGTCTAGAATGCTTGGTTCTGCAACCTTGGCTAATAATATACTATTTTTAACACAACTGATATGTATATATATATGTTCAAATATTTCACTTGCACTTTCAACATTCCCATAAATTTAGAAAACAAAGTTTTAACATTAAGTCGTAGAAATTAGTCAACATGTAAATGGAAAAATGTTGGTATGACTTATTACTAATACGTCTAATAAGCGTTTGATATGTGATGGAATCGAAGGTTACCATTTTCTTTACTTATACAAGGTGTTTTGTCTGTGGTTTTGTCGTCAAAAAATATTAAAAGTTGCTACTGTTGTAAACAGTGAATTACGTTATGAGAAAAACAAGTCAGAAATATTACCTGTTTGCTTGCTTGCTAATTTTTTCTTTTTTAAAGATTATTGCTTCGTGAACACAATACGAAACTTATTACAACTTCAACCATCAGACTTTAGCGTAAATTCGAATTATTTTCAATTATTAATAAAGCAATAAAATTCATAGCATTCTCTTGTTTTTAATCAGAAATTGTATATAATGATGAGTTCAAGCCAAGAGCAAGTGCAAAAAGGAAGTTTAGTATTCATTTATTTAATAATTTAAATATTAAACTGTTCAATTGTTTATAACACCAATATAAATTTCAGTTACTTATTACATAATTACAATTATTATTATATATAAAATAAAAATATCTTTTGATCAAATTTATGACCCTGTACTTAAGTACCTATAGAATTTTTTGTCAATTCTTTTTTTCTAATAATTGACTTTTTCCAATACCTACCACTGAGTTTTTGTTTGAGATAAAACACCCCGTGTCTGCACATAACATCACTGAAAATATATGTGCAATATTTCTTTGGTAATAAACCTTTTGAATGGAATAACAATAATAACACTATAATCAACAAACAACAACATGAACTTATTGCACTTATTAAATAGAACGGAATTCAATATTTTTATTGTAATTATCACGTTCAGGCCGACATAATTACGTGGGATTAAATTATTGTTCAGTTAGGTAACATCATAATTTTTGTAATTTAAGACGGCTTTAAACATCAAAAATGTAAAAGTATCCAAGTCTCATAACCACTTCGTCAAAACACACAACAACATCGTGTTTAGCAAAATTGTGACTACCCACTTTTCATTCTTGGTTTCACAACCAGTATTCAACAGTCATATGAAAATATATAGCTTAAGATAAAAATATCACAATTGTCTCATAATACAAAAATGCTTTATAAAAATGCACATCCAAGAATTAAAAATAGAACAGCAATTGGAAAAATCATGTAAACAGCCATCCTTGGATGACACGTACTGATCAATAATGTAATATCATCCTCTTCATGTTCAATGCCGTCCCTTGTAGGCACCTCAACAATCACAGTTTGATCGGACCAAAATGAAATGGGGAAGTTACATTCAGTCTGATTGATGCAATCATTTCCATTTGAGGAATTAGCGTACCAATATGTAGGTTTATAAATATCAAAAATAGCATGTATATCATTTTTTACGAAATCGTTATCTGAATAAAAAATATAATAGTAATATCCGTCGGTAGCTACCTCATGTTCTGTAACCATATGGTGACTTTTTTCTAAATAATGAACATTTGTACAAAGATGACTTGGTGGAAATCCTTCAGTTAAAAGGATTGAACCGTCATAACAAGTTAACAAATCTGTTTCAAAACTTGACACACTACTTTCTTCAGACAGGTACAAAGTACCATTTAAAGCGTTACCCCCATGAGCTATGTGGGCATCTAACTCAGCTATGTCACGCTTTATTCTATCATTTTTTTCACCTTGTGAGTGTTCAAGTTTCTCTACAGTTTTTCGCCTAGAATGTCTTTTATGGTGTCGAGAAACATTAGGTGGTTCAGTACTATTTGCAGTCTTATTTATTGCTACACTATTACTAAAAGAAACTTTACCCTTATCCCTACCTTTGTTAAGTCTCTTTTGGACAAACATATTCACATCATCTCCATTTACATCCTCAGCAGCTGTATTTTTGTCTACAATATTGTCAACAACCCCAATAATTTCAGCTGCATTTTCAAAAGTAACTTTAACCCTACTGTGTTCATCATCAAATTTGGCGCCATACTTCTTATAATTATGTTCTAAAAGTCCACACGTTTTCAAGTTCTTTTCACCTCGAACGACCAGAATTCTTGAACCTTCGAAGCGTGAACACACCCGTAACTTCACAATCGCTCCTCTCAGTAAGAAAAAGCCCCAATATTCCAGTGTGTCATCAGGCAAAGTCATTGATTTCTTTAGCCTTATGTGTTTACGTTTGTGGCTGAGTGTTGGCTCACCGTGCAACTGGAAAGCGTTAAACGTTGAATTCATTCGAAGACTGTGTGAGCTGCAAAACACTGAAGATACGCCATCCACAATTGCAACGACATCAGATTCGGCAACGGGGTAAGTTACATCAGCAAAAACACTGTGTCTTAGGTATAACGGGACGATGATAAGTATTGCTGGGAACACTGCAGTCAACAAGAAGAACGCCACCACTCGCTTCGCACCATGTATCCGACCCATTTCTAAAAAAAACAAAACGTGGAGTACAGTAACACGTGAATTTTATAGTAGTTTGAAAACGTGACGATTTCGTCTTTCATGGACATAAAAGTTAGCACCCATTAGACGATTTTAGCTAAGTGAATGCAACTTTTTTTCGCTTTGTCATAGCAGCTTGCCAAATGTAGACAAGTTGTAACCAACATGATAAATGCATATGACGCAATTACATTTTAGTTATGAAATAGTGTGACTTTTTATAATTTGTTAGTTCCTGTAGTTAAATTTAGTATAAACAAAATTGTATTTACATTATCTGTTTTAAAGAATTCATGACAGATGACAACTGTCAGCTGCACTAGTGTTAGAACTGTCAAACTTTAAGTAAACGCGCCAATTTCGAATTAAAATGAACGTGATTAAGTTTTAGAGATCAAACACACAATTTTCATTAGCGTTAATTGTTATGTTACAATGGTTATACTTACTGTGCAAATTGGTGATTGAGCTGTATTTGTATCCATTGTAATAGGAAACATTGCTAACGGTGCTGCTAGGAAGCGATTTTTGGGTCATCCTCCAACAGTGATCTGCCACTAAGTATTTCGCAGTTTAAAAATTTTGCTGATGTTTTGGTACAACAGTTTTGATCGTTAATTATCACATAAATGTTTACATTTTCAATATTTCTCGACGTTCAAGGAGACTTGAAATAACAACGTGGTCGTTCTATTTAAAGGAAATAGATTTAATCAGTTCACTTATGTCGCCAACTCGCCAGTCGGTTATGTGTTATTATTTTCAAACTAATGAGGTTTGTCGATAGATTCTTGTTATCACAATACAGTAAACAAGAAACATTAAAAACGTTTCCACGCTAGAACTCGATAAGTGAACCTTCACAATTGTGTTGTTTTCGGGGAGCTTTCGGTGTAGGTTTTTACGGATTTAGAGTTCTTGCCTTAAATCTGGGAGATTATAAAGAAATTAAGTGCCAAGATAAATGATAATGAATTATTCAAACTAATAAGTAGATTTTATCTTATTTACACTATCACTTATTGTTCGTAAACTGTGTGTTTTCACATTTAGCTTTATTACTCCCACAAATCACGATGTTTTATTACGCTTATTGGAATTTTATGCATTATCTCCAAAAACGCAAACGTGACGCCAATTATAAAAAATTTATGTAATAATAAAGTTAAAATATGTTAAGTCTTAATAAATTTACTTTAACGATTTGTTTTGAAAAAAATTAGATGACGTAAATCAGAGTTCTTTATTTATTATTTATCTACATTGTGAGATAAATGTGCACTTTAACAAAGTTAAAAATAAAATAAAGCACTTGTGAATCTCATGACGCAAAAATTAGAACTTTGATCAGATGACAGTGTACAGAAAAACTCTCTGTAGCAAAGTGACGGTGTGGATTTTTTAAATTGTTACATTTTGCATGAATAAGTCCACACATAAGTCGTATTGGTATTATTTTTAGAAAATCGTACTTTTATTGCGACCAAATCAAATGTCATACCTAGATCTGTATATGAAAATTTCATTTCATTTATACCACAACACGTGGTGTATCTTTATTTATCTCTCCGTAAAATATTGTACCACATATTTTAAAAATAACTCCCATTGCTAAAGAATTTCAAAAAAATTGAAATTTGTGGCAACGTCGCATTGGAATTTCAAAAATAAACTGTGGTTACTGGTTATGGTTATAGAGATAGAGCCTGGGAAGACTCAATTAAAATATGTAAAAATATAGGACGTTTCGTTTAAAAAACTAAGTTGGGTGTTACACCTTAGAAACCGAACATTCTGTATAGTTAAAGTATAGTGCTCAAAGGACCATACAACTTTGGTCTTTGATTTTTCTTCTTTAACTAACTCTGTATATGAATCAAATTTTACAAAGTCGTACCTATCTAGAAACGCGATTTTTATTATACCTATTATACAATTTTTTGCGATATGAAGTCCTGCCGTTGTCTGATTTCTGTTGTATTAAAAAACCCACAAAAAAAAAATCGGCCACCCTGAAAAATTTCGCAAAACCAAACTTTAAAAATGATTAATTTAAGTACTAGTGATCGTTATTTTATTAAAGAATTATTCACTATTGACACATGATGTATAAATTAGCAAAAAAAGAAGACAAATAAACACATAACTAAATTTAATTTAATAAAATAACAGAAACAGAGCGATAATTTAAGAGATGTCTGTAAGAATTAACGGCATTGTTTTCGCGTGAAAACATTTATTAACTGCTAAACTTATAATCAAATGATGAAAAACACTGTTTACAACAACACTCTCCTTTATTGTTTTAATTAAGAAAATATGGTACTTGGTCTGTTTCTGTTATATTGTTAAATTAAATTTAATTCTGCGTTTATATGTCTTCTTTTTTGCTCATTTGTACAACATGTGTGTCAGTAGTGAATGATTCTTTAATAAAACAACGATCACTAGTTAAATTAATAATTTTTAAAGTGGTTTTTGGAAAATTTTCAGGGTGGCCGGTTTTTTTACCGGTCAGTGTACTATGTACCATGGAGGTAATATTATTCTACCTCCATGGTATGTACGTATCTATTTGATGGATTTTAAACTTGTGACTCTTTATAATCGCTGCTCTTATCAGTGTGGAACGCAGCTAAGACGAGGGATTAAGGCACTCCAGGTATCATTTGCACGATTGAGGTAGATATTTCTTTTTCGCTACATTTACATTTATTTATAGTTAGTTCATTGATTCCGATTTATTTAAAAGTTCCTGGTACCTGATGTACACAAAAGCAAAAAAAAAATGTTTTAGATGGTCACAATTTTAATTTTTTTTTAATCTAAAAGTCTAAAGTAAAAAATAAAAGCGCATCTAAACCACATGTACAGAAGTATGTTATTTTGTAAAATTTAAATGAATAGTAAATGCAAAATTTGGAGATGACGTCATCAAATTGTTGGTGGGGAGGATCAAACAAACTTTAAATAGCGTTTTTCCATCTACACGATATATGCAGGTAAAATATATATATATTTTACCTGCATATAAAATTTCACAGCAATCGGTCCAATAGTTTCAGAAATTATCTGTTTAATAAAATCGCCAACAGAGTATATATAGGAAAACAAACGGACGGATACGGGAAACCTATTCTTCATACTCTAAGGACAGTGAAACATCTAAAAAACATGAAATTAGACTTTCGACGGAGAAGTAAAAAAGCGGGAACCTTTCCTTTCGCATGACTGTCTCACTGAAAACAGGTATTGTCTACCCAGTTTAAAATGGTTTTTATGATAGGTCCATTGTGTTGAAGTTGATGATGTTGAATGGAGTAAATCCCTGGCCATAAATAAGAAAGTGGTCGGTTTCTTGCAGGGCCGTACTTTGTTATTCAACTCATATTGTTCATCGTGGGGTAATAATAACGTGATAATGTTTATTATCTTGTCATAAAAACCACTTTAAACTGGGAGTACTGTACATTTGGAATTTTGAGAAATGAGATGGTCACGTTTTCGAACGCTGAAGGGCCAAATCTGTGCTTGATACTCAAATTTTGTTTTTATGTGTATTATAATATTCGATTGGCATTCGGAACTCTTTGGGTAATACTTTTCTGAACAAGTGGACTGGAAATGAGGAACCATGAAATAGCCATTCTAATTGCCTGATTTATACCATTAGACTTCTTTTGTGACAGAAAGCACCGGCGGCGGCATGCTTTTGAGTTAAAATAAAATTAAATAAATTTGATTGATTTTGTGTACAACAGAGGAGAGGACTGATTAATGAATGCATTATTTTGGGTGAGGAGCCGTCATTATAATTATAATTTTATTATTATTAAATACATAATAGTATTAGATATATAGCTCAATCCTAACTTACCGTGATTAACCCAAACTGTTGGCGAGAATACAGTAATGTCACGCCTGCCTATATTATAGTACTAGTAGTATTGGATACATTAATTGAGCAGTGAGTGAGCTAATCTCAAAGTGATTTGATATGTCAGAATATGAAGTGACAGAACAGTTACTGAAAAAATAATAACAATAAAATCCACGTTTACAATTCAAAATCCATAGTTACACTGTGGAGATTTATGAAGGTCAACTGCCAAGAGGTTTTTTCATTGTGCATCGACTATACCTACGTTGATCTTCGTCATATTTTTTCCCCAAATTCTTTCATATTCTTAAATAAAAGACACAAAGGACCTCCGAGATTATTTCAAGCAAAAAAAAAGGCACTAGGAGTTCCCAAGATTCTTTCACATTCTTAGAGAAAAAAGACACTAGGAGTCCCTGAGAGGGTTTCACATTCTTAAGGAAAAAGAAATTAGGGGCCTTCGACATTCTTTCTCGAGACTTTTTGGCCATTCGTAAAGAAAAAGACATTAGGGAGCCTCGAGATTCTTTCGCATTCTTAGAGAAAAAAGACACAAGGGGCCCCCAAGATTCTTCTTCATTCATAACAGAAAAGACACTCCAAGATTCTTTCACATTAAAAAAGAGCCAAGGGACACCCGAGATTCTTTCACATCGTTACGTTAATCGGTGAATAAAATCGACGTGGGTAAAACTCAACAGTTTATTTCTTAATAACAGATTATGTACAAAATAACTCCGTGATGCAACTTGAATGAATTCGTTCACTGGACTCGACTTGCTGACTGAACTGGCTGAATCGTAATCCTTCCCGAAGGTGGCCTCTATTTAAAGCCAATCTTCCCTTCTATTAGTTCCGCAGTCGAGGTCTTTCTCGATTGCCCATCACGATTTCCAGGCTTTTCTTCGGCCGCCGTCACCGACAATGAGTCATCATCGCCGTAAATACTAGAACCCATAGGCGTCGCACCGGGGCGGCGTATGGGTTTCTTTCGTAACACTGCCCCCTCCTTAGTCCTGATCGTCCCGATCAGGAACGTCAACGGTGCCACTAGCGTGTTTTCATTTTGTCACTCGCCACCCGGATCTTGTGGCGACCTTCTCGATGACCTCCTTTGGTTCTTCACTCGGAGAGCCGAACAAGATGCCACAAGGGAGACGAAGTTCTCTTCCGAAAACTATGCGCGCCGGTGTGTGACCCGTCGTGTCATGGATAACTGATCGATAAGCCAGTGGAACAGTGGAAGATGTCGATCCCAATCTTTCTGATGTTCATCTACCACTTTCGAAAGATGTTCTTCCATGGTACGATTGAACCGTTCTACCATTCTATCTGACTGTGAGTGCAACGGTATAGTACGTGTCTTCCGTATCCCTAGTAGTTCAGTAACCCTTTTGAATAGGTCCGAAGGTAATTCCATTGGGACCCCAAACCTGCTAATCCAATTGTCAATCAGCATTGTTGCAACCGTCGTGGCTTCTTGGTTTGGTAAGGCATAAGCTTCGGGCCATTTACTGAAGTACTCGCTGACGACCATTATGTACTTATTCCCGTCCTCGGTCACCGGGTAAGGATCTGCTATGTCCACTGCAATTCTTTTGAAAAGCGAACCGACGCTGTATGGTTGCGTCGGCCTTCTCGCCCTAGTCCTTGGTCCCTTGACCGCTGCACAGGTCGTACACTTCTTGCACCAGTTCTCGACATCTTCTCGACAACGGACCCAGTAGAATCTCTCCCTGACTTTAGAAATCGTCTTGTTGATTCCAAAATGAGCACCAGAACTACCATGTGCATTTCTCGAAGTGCTTCCTTGGTTTTAATGGCCGGAATCACCAACGACATGGTGATATATTTCCCATCCGAACTCTCGCAAGCTCTCTTAAGCAATCCATTTTCGACACGCAGGGAGTCCCACTGAGTCCATAACCCCTTGAAAGAGGGTGACTCTTCTTTCCATCTGAGTAACGGCCCGATATCAACGTCCTCCTCTTGGTCTTTTCTAAGCTGTGCTGTAGTCCATTCGTCATCTTCTAGATTGCTGTCTTTCCACAGTTGAACGACGTTTCTTCATCTGAAGAAGCCATGTAAGCGCTGATTGAGCCGGTCTAATCAGAAATTCGCGTCCGTAGATATTTATGAAAGTGTTCAACAGCCCTGACAATCACCAACAACTCCTTCTTAGTGGCACAGTAGTTCTTCTCGGGTTTCGAAAGTACGCTGCTGAAGTATGCGATGACTTTTTCTTCTCTGACCTGCACCTGTGACAATGCGGCACCTATTCTGATGTTGCTCGGGTCTGTGTCCAAGATGAACATTCCCGATGACTGGGGACAGGACAGAATAGGACTAGAGCATAGTGCATTCTTCAGTCTTTTGAAGGCTGCTTCACTTTCAGTAGTCCAATTAAACTGACACTTCAAATCCATCAGCCTGTGCAGAGGAGCAGCAATGTCAGCAAACCCGTTGACAAATCTTCTGTAGTACGTGCACAATTCCAAGAAACTCCAAACTTCGTGCTTATCTCTTGGTCTTGGCCAATCGCGAATTGTACTGAATACTGATCTTCGTTCCCGTAGTCTTGATCCCGGTTGACAAAACAGTATGGCAAAGAAATTCTATTTCTTTTTGGAAAAGGAGGCATTTCTTCGGATTCAGTTTCAAGTTTGCCTCCTTCATTCGACTGAATACTTCTTCTAGGTTGGTCAAGTGTTCCTCAAATGTTTTTCCCATTACCATGATGTTGTCTAAATAAACCAAACATGTTTCCATGTTAGCCCCCGCAATACCATCTCCCTTAGTCTCTCAAAAGTAGCCGAAGCATTACACAGTCCAAAAGACATTACGGTAAATTGATACAAGCCACAACCGGCAGAAAAAGCGGTCTTTTCCTTATCTTAAGGTCCAACGGATCTTGATAACGTTGTGAGCGTGTCATCAATTCGTGGAAGCGGGTAACTGTCCTTCTTGGTTACACCGTTTAGTTCCCTGTAGTCTACGCAGAATCGCGTCGATCCGTCTTTTTTGGTGATTAGCATTACAAGCGAAGATGACTCTTCCATTACGTCTTCGTCCAACATTGTTCGTACCAGTTCTTCGGCTTCCTCATGTTTCGCCAAAGGTAGTCTTTGCGGGGCTTGACGGATCGGTTACGCGTCTCCAGTGTTTATCCGATCTTGCATTATATTTGTGCGCCCAGAGGACCGTTCAGATGAAGACATTCCACTATGTTTCTGTAGAAACTCTCTTGCTACTTTCCACTGATGTTCGATTATATGACCAAGTTCTAGGGAAGGAATTTCTAAGTTTCTTTTTATTCCTTCATCACTGTTACCAGAAAGATCTTCGTTGTGATGAACTATCTTCGTGATTGGTTCACAGACGGCAAAAATTTTCCCACTCTTGATGTTCATGCCTTTGGGGAAAACACTTTCGATGCGTACAGGTATGTCACAATCCGTATTAATTAAAGCACTCACGACCATGAGATTCTTCTTGGGGGTGTGCGGTGGTTGAATAATGCCGAGGGCAAATCCGGGTTTCCCTCTAACTTTCACATTTTGGCACGTTATCAGTCTTGCAGGCTTGGATTCAATACTGTACTGATTCAAGATAAATTTGTAGGTAAGCGAAGAAAAATGTTGTTACGTCGGTGGGAATCGAACCCACGCCTCTCGCTTTCCAGGCAAGCATCCAGACCACTAGACCACGAGGCGACTTACCTTTCTTCGCTTACCGACGTGTTATTGTGCCGCCACAGTACCCCCCCCCCCTCCCCTCCCCCTGCCCAGCGACACAGCGCGCGGTCGTCCTGGGGCGCGAAGGAGATAGATGCTGACGTCGCCCTGCTACTCTTACGTTCGTTGTTCGAACCCTGGTGATGCTGCGGACCCCAAACACAGCGGGCACAGGGCGGTAGCAGAAGGATGTTGCGTGCGTGCGTGCATGCGTGCTCTGTCGGTGGACACCAATGTAGGTAAGCGAAGAAAAATGTTGTTACCTCGGTAGGAATCGTACCCACGGACTTGCCATCTCGCATTCACTCCCCAGCCCGAAAACCCCCTATCGTATATTCACTAACATATTACAGTTCAAACGAAACACCTTAAAAATATGAAAGAAAAGACACTCGCGAATTGACAGACATACACAAATGAAAAACGAACAAACGCAAAATCCTATACATCTGTTTGGAATCAATGCAAATATTTGAATATCACAAAGTTAATAAAAACAAAATCTGAATTAAAAAAGTAACTGGATGCAAATACACAAGTTATTACGGGCGTGTGGCGTCAGATTTTAAAGTTACGGCAGTTAAGAGGAACACAACAAAAGTACCCCTGGGGCGTTCTAGCACAAGCAGAGTTTGGGGCTACCGGTCGGGGCTGTTCTCCCCCCACGACGGTGATTCTATCTATCGCAAGCCTACCCGCACAGCACATTACACATCCCCAGGACGAACATGCCGTCCGAAACTAGGCCGTTACGGTCGCCAGACCCGTAGTTGGATCTAGGCTAGCACGAAGCCGAGAACGTTACAACATCGGCGACCGCCCCTAAATCTATCCAAACCTGCGGACTTGTGTAGGTGACGCGATGAGATCTCGCCAGCTCGACTAGGAACCGAACTTCGCTTCTGCCATGTTCTCTGTGTTATTTAACCTCAATTCCAATTTAAATGTTCAATCTCTTATAACTTTGATATTAACAACAACTGAACAAGTGCTAAAGTTTCAAAGGAGCAATAAACAACATTTAAATTCGCCATACAATCTTGTGAAATTTTAAATAACAAATACTTCTTATGTGAGATTAAAATTGGACATCAAATAATTTATACGATGGAAACATTCATCAACAAAATATTTACAAAACAAAACTTAGCAAAGATTTATGAAACAAAAGGTCTGGTGTGAAATAAACTTGTGCAAATAAAAATTATGTGAGGTTAAAACTGCAGGGCATGAAATTTACGTTCAATTAAAATTATACAACAAAGAAAATTTACTGAGGTTAACACTGTGAGATTGAGAAATATTGTTTGAGGTGAAAAATTGCAAAGTTAACAAAATTTACATGAGATTACTGCTTGCCACACTTTATCAACGATTCAAACAAAGGGTTTACATTATGTTAAATTATATCATGATCTAAGTGATTGGTTACTCAAAAAAAAAAAAAAACAATTTACTTTGAGAGTTTAGAATACCGCGAACTGGTTACCCCAACAAAACACATAATAAACACACAAAAATATCCAATCATCGTTGCGAGAAAAAAGCGTCTCGGTGATGTAATTTTATTGTTGAGAGGGAATACCTCGATGACGTATATTTTAGCGTTGCGAGGAATAAGCCTCTTTGATGTTATCAATCTCTAGCGTTGCGAGGACATGCCTCGATGAAGTAATCAATCTGTAGCGTTGTGAGGACCAGCCTCGATGATGTAATCAATCTTTAGCGTTGCGAGGAGATGCCTCAGTGATGTAATCAATATAACTATGATAATAACCATGATAACCACCTAAAGGAAGAAATTATTTTAACCCCCCCCCCCCCGCCAGTTCGCAGTATGAATTTTGTTAATTTAACTGTCGTAAATGAACTATTAGTAATCTTGTGTGAAGAATTAAGAAGTGTTTTAATGTAACACTTATGTATATGCATCCAGAAACCTATTCGTAATTAAACAACAAAGGTGGTTTCCTGACTAAGCGAATTTCATGAAATCTTCTAGCAAGTGGTTTATTTAAATAATCCTGATTGTTAAATTGTGTTAACATTAGCCGACGATTAAGAAAAACTAACTTGATTGGAGAATTTACCAACAATAAAACAAATTTTTAGCACGTGTTCCGCGTTGAACGAAAGTCCGCACTTTTTCTCGTGTTGGGGAAAACCTGTGTTGTCATCGTTACGATTAATTTTCGTTAAACAAAGGCTTCCTCCCTTTTTATCAACTACCAAACCAACTAATTTAAACTAGCTCTTACCACGTGTTTACATTCACAAAAACACATTCACACTGACGCTCCGCCATCCCGCCCTCTGTCTCTACCAAGCTCTAACTAAACATGCAGAACTAACCCCTACGTGCATATTTGGTTGCCTATGTTTAACGATTTCTTTTTTGTTTGAATTTTTTTCTCTTTCAAATTCAAATTATTCAAATTGTGATTTCGCGCCGCTGTTAATTAATTTCAGCGCGAAAATTTTGATTTAAATTCGGTCACCACAATAGGAAAAATATTTGTATTTGCAATTCAAAAAAAGTCAGTAATTTTAAACATTAGAAACGATTCATTTATGTAGAAGTGGTGTAGAAGTAAAAGAATACCACAGATTTACGTCCAAAAATGAATAAAAATTAATATCGAGCTACGCCACTGGCAGGAAATCGCGCTGTCAGTTAATTAACGACTTGCTACGAACAGGTGACGAACGGACCCGAAACAGAAGCGGTCTATTAAAGTCGAGTTTCGCTTGCTTTCGCTCGCGTAATGTTTGTTGATGTTTGTGTAAAGAGATAAGCACCGAACTGAACTTCATGAGTAAATAATTCAGTAACTTTGATCATACACAACTTTTATCGTTTTAATCATAACCTGTGAGGCTACAACAACATGACCAATTCGAGTGAAAACGTGTTTAATACCTGTAGATCGTGTCTTTTATTGTCCAATGATACTTATCCAATATTCGAATCCATGATCGAAGACAATGTAAGCGTTGTAACATTGTTAAATTACTTTTTAATCGAGGTAATTACCACCAGTGTTTATAGATTTTTTTTAATTAAACCACGTTGTAGATAGAAGAAGATAATTTACCACAAGCTATGTGTCATTCCTGTGTATTGAAGTTACAAGCAGCATATGAATTTTTTGAAACTTTTAAAAAGTCCCAAGCGATATTAGAGCAACGATTTGTAGATAATCAAGAAGAGCCCCTTTTGGTTGTGAATGGTGACGCTAAACTGAATAATATCAGTTCAAAGTTACACTTAAAAGAAGTAACCTCAATTGAACAAAATTCTTCAGAAGTAAGAAATGATGTAGACATTGAAGAAAGTATTATTATACAGTATGGAGAAAGTGGTAAGGAGAGTCATGACTCAGATGATGAAGATTACTTGATTGCAAAGTCAGTGAAACTCACAGAAATGTATAAACGTCGCAAGTGTGACAATACCACAGACACCGATTCTGATGATAACGTTGGAGAAGTAGAAGATAGTGGAGTTGATTCTTCAATTAATAAAAGGCAGCCCTCAAGTACTTCAAACAACAAAACCTTGCAAAAATCCAGTGTTAAATCAGTAGTTTGTAAAGTGTGTTCTGAATGTTTCACAGATGTCAATTTATACTTGGAACATCATTGTAAAGAATTTTTCTGCAACATATGTGAAAAGTCATTTTCTAGAGCAGAATTGTATAAAAGACATATGCAAAGACATTCTAGTTCATCATCAAGATTTGCTTGTCCAGATAAAAAGTGTTCTAAGACTTTTTGTGGAAAACAAGCGTTACGCAGTCATTATTTAACAGTACATGAGGAAAAACGAAATTACTTGTGCAGTCTTTGTGGAGCGTCATTCAAAAATTATGATAACTTGAGATATCATATTAAGAAACATAATGGACCTTCACATGTCTGTACATCCTGTGGAAAAGCTTTCATGTTATCAGCTCATCTTAAAGATCACATGTGGCGACATTTAGGAGTAAAACCCCACAAGTGTACAAAATGTGATAAAAGTTTTCTTACTAAAAAACTCTTAATCAGACATGTGGAAAGTAATTGTGGCAAGAACAAGAGGCTACTAGGAGAAAAACTTGTTTTAAATATAGAAAGCATGTAACTGTGTTTCAAGAACATCCATTGATAAAGTAAAACAATTGAAAATAATTTTATTAACTCTTAAAAATATATAATTATTTTTTTATTACAATAAAACGCTATAATTATTTCATGTGAAGCTGCTGCAGTTTTAACATTTATTTTTAAAAGATCAATAAATCAAGTACAAAATACACAATTGAACTTGTAAAAATTAATAATTAATTTATTATTGTACTACATTTACAGAAAAAGCCCATGAGTATTCTTAAACCAAGCTGCAGTAGCAAGAGCTAGAGTCCGATGGATGATCCTTGTTGTCAACATGAACATTACCATTTAGTGCAAATGATTCCCAAAGTCCCGGTGTCTGAATTATCTAAAACAATAATGTCACCTTCATGCATCTAATTACACATAATTACATACTTTATGAACTAATTCTTCAAAAGCACATTGTACGCCGTCCCTAGTTTTTGCACTGGCTTCTATATACAAAGTTTGATGTCTTCTGGCAAATTTCATTGCCTCATCTCTATTTACTTCACGGTTTTCCTATAAAAGTTCGTTACAAACCAGCTAGTTCATTATTATAACTACCTTATCGATTTTATTTCCAACAATCATTTTAACTATGTTTGGCTTTGTCGAATAAGTTTCTAATTCGCTTAACCACGTTTCTAATTTCGCAAACGTGGAATAATTAGTGACATCATAGACTAGAATAGCGCCCTGTGCTTCACGGTAATATGACGGTGTTAACGTTCGAAACCGCTCTTGCCCTGCAGTGTCCCATATTGCCAATTTCACTGTGTTCCCATCGACAGAAAGTTTCTTAGTTTTAAAATCAACTCCAATTGTTAATGTTTGATCAGGATCGAAATTGTCCTCTGTGAAACGGACTAGAATGCTGGAAAAAGAATGGCAATAAACCCGTTGTTTGATTCCCTACAAGTTACCTAGACTTCCCGACACCACTTTCTCCGATTATTAGGATTTTTAGAGTTGTTAACACTTCTTCATCCATTATAGAAACGAATGTGCGTAGTTATATTTAAAAACAATAAAATGAAAAACTAACGAGTTGCACCAGTTGTACGTTGTAGATATGTAAAACGTTACTCAATAAATACAAATTCTTGACGCTGACAATGATTTGTAAGTTTTTTAGCTTAAAAAAGGGAAAATAAATTTACACAAAATATTATTGACAAATTTGACAACTCTGTCATCGCATTTGTCATTTTGTTTATATCGCAATCACACCCAATTAGATTACAGATTTCTGTAATGATTTTTTGATAATTTTCGAGTTTATTCCATTATTTTTCATTAATTCCACAAAAATTAAATACAGTGACAAAATTGTTATTTACATTTCGTTATTCATTAATTATTAAAAGAAATTTGTGTGGAAATTAAAAAAATCGAGGTGGTGACATCTAGCGACAATATTTGAAAACAAGTTAAGCGATGAGCTCAAAATAAAATATTTATTAATTTTTCTAAAATACGATAATTATATACATTTCACACTTAGCTACTAATTAAACCTAAATAATCATCCATCAAAGTCCCAATGGCAAACTAAAAATATCAATATTAACACAAATGTTTTCAAAAGAAATATTTCACTTACTATTCCAGTGGCGTCTACCCGAGTACCTACAATCTTCAATCTTATTTCACCTTCGGCATGAATTACCACATCTTCATCCTTTGTTTTATAACACTGAGGATTTACATTGGGGCAAAATTCCATTTCAGCTGGTATGGACTACAATAAGCGTTAAAAACAATCATTAAAATTAATGGAGCACAAAACTTACATGATGTGAAATAAAACACGACAATGGTCCAATTTCAGCAAACATTCCCACCTACAATAATTAAAGACGACTGTTGATTCTTATGTAAAATTGACTGTACTGTACCTTATTAACTTGTCGAACAACAGCGTCAAGTACTTCTCCTTTAAAGGGTCGAAATACTATTGCTTTGTATTTAACAGGGTAAACAACATAGCCTTGACCAGGCAATATTAGCCCTGCTCCTATACTATCAATAGTGGTCACAGCAATAACAAATCCATATCTAAAAATTAACAGTTTAAAATTTAAAATAAGCTAGCTTGATTTGGGACTAACTTTCCAGTACATGTACCCTCCACTTCCGTATATAACTTAGTCTTGACTTTTTCGAGCAACTGGGGTCCGAAATATTGCGGGTGTAGTAAAATTTCGTGTTCTAATGAAATCTAAAATATAGAAAGTTAAAAAACATTGTAGCAACAACTCACTGTGGTTATTTTACGTGATAAAACATTTTCTCTTTTATAACTTGCGTTTAAAACTTGAATTAAAGGTTACCCATCGACCAAGGAAGAGGTTATGTTTATATCCACAGGCAGCAGGGACTTTTCTTCTTGACTTGACTTTTCCCTCCCGGTCTTTAGTGTCATTTGATTAAAACTTGGTAAAAACGAAAACACTAAAACTTTGAATGTGTGTGGTAATCATGGGATGGTTTTGATGAAAAACGAAAATTTCTTCAAAACTGCAATAATGGTGAGTAAAAACAGTTTATTTCATATAAAGTAACGAAAATATAGCAACATTTTCACTTATTCTAATATACTCCCGTCTTTAATTAAATCTTCTTTACTAACTAAACCTAAGCAACAAGCTAAAACTAAAGCAGCTCCTTGTTCGGCAAATCTCTTATTCTTCTCCCTAGAACAGTCCAAATTAACACTGAGCATTGAATTAACGCACATCTGATTCAATACCAATATGAAGAACTGTACTTCTTGCCCTGGAATGTTGCTACAGCTCGAAACAATTTATCTTCGTTAATAGTCTTGTAAACAGGCAAATCAAGTTTCTGTTTGCCACAGTATGCTATTATTTTAGATTTAGGCAAGTCTGGATCCTCTGGATAATTAACTCTTATAAAGGCACACTTCATTTCAATAACGTCTTCGTCTAATTCAGTCTTTACTTTTTTTGCTTTGGGGCTAAACATGTCTGGGGTGACTTCTCGTCGACTGAGAATTCCTTGTGAGTGAAATTTCAGTTGTTTTTTTCGGCAGTAGTCACCCATGTCCCAAATTGCACTAAAAAAATAGTTGGTAAAAATTGATGAAACTAAAATTTGTACACAAACCATATTTGTTCTAGAGTTTGACATTCTAAAAATCTTTTGCCTCTAGGTGTTTCTTGCAGTTCTTTTAGCATATTTTGTATACAGTATTTGGTGTTGCTAGGCGAGTTGTCATAATCTACAGCATATTTTAGATAATCTATAATAACATTTTCTAAATCTAACAACCCCTGAGGACGAAATATTGAGCAGTTTCCTTCAGCGGCTCTTGCAATCATAACGCTGGAACAGCCACACTGGTGTTTGAATTTTACAATATCTTGATACTTCTCGATTTCTCGGGAACCACCACTAAAAAGTAAACATAATTTTTTACTACAATACATTTTTTTTTTATTTTACTTTGCGATGATAGGGATGGCAATATTCTCGGCAATTTTTTTGATAGTTTCATTTCTATTCTGATGTTGGGGTCTTTCAGCTTTAGTTCGACCGTGGATGGCGATGGCTGCAATTCCCGTAGACACTAATTCTTTGACTAAAGTCAGAGTTTCCTCCACATCCTCAAATACACGAATTTTGCAAGTTATCGGTACATTTACATTTTGAGTAAGTGCGTTTAAAATTGATTTAGCTTTTTCAGGCTGTTTTAGCAAAGCTGCCCCCATACCCCCTTTTAAAGAAAATTCCTTTGGACAACCCATATTTATATCAATTCCGGCCACATCTTGTTCACTACAATCAAAAATTATTTATTCATGTTGTGGTTGGGTGTTGGATAATTACATCATTTTTGCTACTTTTAAAGCTCTTTCTGGATCACAAGTTCCTAATTGTATTACTACTTTATCTTTTTCTCTTTTACAAGTTCGAAAAACGACGGAACCATCCGACTTGTCTAAGTAGTCAATTGTACCTAGAACGTCTGCATTTTTGTTTAGTTTTTGTGAAGCAACGTGAAAAAAGTTTACCGTTTTCTCTTCTCACTGATTTTAAAAATTTCCAGTCGATTAATTCTTCGCTATAAACGATATCTGCACCATAATCCAGAGCCAATAATCTCATGGGTAGAGTACCAACGCGCACCATGGGGGCCAAAATAATTTTGTTATCGTACGTTAATTTGTTCGTTATTCGCGTCATAATTAAATAAACCGCACAGAAAATACAACGTGATATGTTAACTTCTCGAAAAATTTGATATCTCAGTTTTGAGGTTAGATCGCCTGTTGTGCTGTCATGTGTTAACCTTAAAAATTGTCAGCGACCATCATTGCCAAGTGTCATGCGGCTTTCTATTTTTTGTATTTACTTTAGCGTCCTACGTCCTTCCAAAAAGTGTTTTCTACGCACAAATTTTTTATAATTGATATTTTTAAATTTGATGTAACTCAAGAAGAATCTTCGAGGATCGAATTAATGAGGTAGATGTGCAAGTGGCAACAGTGTTGTTATTTTCTTTTTTTAGTTTTTTGAAATTTGGAATGCAAACAAGTAGGTAGCTGTGATAAAGTTTTACTTTTTTGGCAGCAACAATGATATTCAATACCTCTTCTAATAAATTTTTTTAAAGAAAATTTAATGTGACGAAAGAATCAAGTACAAAAATGCCTCACCGTTACTCCACAGCTTTTTCTCATATTGTTTTGGCTGGAACAGGAATTTATTGTTTAGTCCAAATCAAAGGCCAGGCGGCACATCTACCCCACTTCACGTTTGGAATAATCACAGTAAATTCGTTAATCGGAGTCTGGAGGTGGGGTAAGTTTAACTTGAAATGTTGAACATTTTATTGAATGCCTATTTAAACTTGTAGGAAATCCTGATTATGGTGATAAGGCTGATGGTATCTACAAATTTACTTCCTATATGCAGTTGTTGTTTGCTCTTCCATGTATCACAACGACTTTGTGGTTAGGCTATGGATATGATAAATATATAAGCTGGGCGTTTACGATAATGCCACTTATTCCACTTGTGTGCCACCTGGCTGATTCTTCTTCCGATGAAAAGATTGAAGAACTGGTAATACCAATTAACATAATTGCTGTCGGGGTGGTGGCATTTATGGCAGAAAACTATTGGGGGGTTGCAGCTGCCGTGTCATACGCAATTAACCACTATATTGTACTGAAGCAAGGAGACAGTTTGGAAGGTATACCTGCTCAAGATCTGTACAACTACGGCCTATGCTTCTTCGCATACTTTGCGCTACGAGCCATTGGAGAAAATATTGTACTAAACTTTTGATACATCTGTATATTTGACCAATTTTTATAACTGTTCGCTTTGAAAATTGCATATCATTGTTGTCATGTACCTATATATTTTTATATATGATGTTTCAGCTATTATTGTTTACTATACTGTATATGACAAAATTGTATGTTGAATAAATATATACAACGTTTTGCCAATTGAAGTTATCAGTTAAAACAAAGCATCAGTTTTCTAAAAGAAACTGAACTCAGTAGTTTTATTTTCTGCGTAAGCACCTTTAGAAAATGAAATCACATGTAAAGTGATAAAGTTTGCCCTTATTTGAGATAAATAATAAAAAAGTAAGATTTAATTGTTCATATAACGAAGCGGAATTTTTTTTATCTGACGTCATCAGTATTTTGGTGGGGATAAATAATTAAAATAAGTCTTGCTTTTGGAGCATACCATTGTTTGTGTATTTTAAATGACACTTTTGTACGCACAAAATGTAAAAAAGGCCATGCAGTAATTGTAGAACTGCTTCGACATTTGGTCGTACGAAATTTCATTTCTGAAGAAGAATATGCAATAAGCTAAAAAAGTAAACATAGCGCTTCCTATTGCATAAATGTCGCGGTATATAAAGCCAACTCCCAGCAGCGATAGCATACTCATAACAATAGCAAAATCGATCAGATCTTGTCTCGTGTAATGTTGAAATAAAAAAATATACGTAGGTATTAAACCGACGGCTGTGTGAAGCCAAGCCACTTCTTTTTGGGCAACTTCATATTTGAGCCATACCTCAGTTGTTAAACAAGGTACTGCCAAGGATGCTTGCAGCAGTTCCAGAAGTGTTCTCATGGAAGTCATTATATTTTCGGAAACTGGAAAAAACATATCAGGTTTAGTTATTCTGGATGATATTTATATAAAATACAAAATTCTGTGAGGGCCATACAACTATTAAGGACGCTAATGCCAAACGTTACGTAAGCAAACCGCATTAAATCGTTGCTGCCATATTTTTCATTATATTTTTTAACACAATAAAACGACATCAGTATCCAGAATATGTTGGATATTAGACTAAGTATTATGTTGATTTTGAGTACCTACAATTGATTTTTAGGTGTATAAAACAGAAATATGTATCTGAAATAGTGGTACTCACTTTGTAAAGAAGGAAGATTACAAAATTGTAGAGGTGGTTCCAGGGAAAGGGCAGAGTAGGGCCCTCCACACTAGTTTCTTCCATTTTTAGGTTTATACGAAGGTTTTACATTAAATTATATATGTTGATTAATTTATTAGTAAAAATTCAGACATGCATGAACATAATGAATTATTAGTAAGGCAAACGTTTTATGTGTACTAAAATTTGACATGTCAGTTTTGGCAGTTAAATCTCATACCTTTTAAATATGATCTATACCCACTTAAGCGTTTGTAAAAAAATCGCAATTTTTGTTTCCTGCTACACCGAATCAAACGAATTTTGAATTTTGGCGCGTAATGTAGATGATGCCCGCGCATGCCCATTGAGTCGTTACGCAAAGCAAAATATAACAAAAAACAAAATGGTTGCCCTATAGAAGAATGTGTTTATAATGCATTTTTATATAAAAGTACGTGCGATGTGGCCTAATTTCCTGAATTCCTGAATTCCTTGAAGCAAACTGACGGTAAATAAACGTACAGTTGTAGTTATAAAGTGTAATAATCAAAGTTTAACGCAACAATGACATGACGCTATGAGCACGCTAGAGTAAATAAATAGTGATTTTCCAAATTCAAACCAGGAGGTTTCTATTTATATGGGAAGGTTATATAGGTTAGCATTACCAGCAAAGCAAACGGAGTTGTTCATGTTGCATTTACGTTAAGTGTTATTACATAACGTATCCTAATTGTTCAGTTTGTTTTTTGTAATATGTAAACAAAGCCGCCACCTCGGGTGGTTAGTGTCGGAGTGGTTTTGTCATTTTGTTTGTTGCAGGAAAATTTTGGTCAAGATGAAGAACAGATTAATTGTGTAGCAATGAATGTGAATTTATTGCATTGGAAATGCGGGGTGGGATTGTCGAATCGCTAGTTTAGCAAACTACGCTTCTTTGCATTATGAGGGAGATGGTAGGAGGTTGTTGTGTTTGTTCTGACGATAGAGGATGGTCTGAAAACCCACTTGTTTACTGCGATGGACAATCTTGCACTGTTGCTGTTCACCAAGGTAATGTTAGGGTTAGAGTCATGTGACTAATTTGACTAATGGGCACCAAGACTTGCCAAAAGCAACTAGATCATGATTGCGATTTTTGGAAGTAAATGTCCATTGTTAAGAGCCTTGGATGGTGACCAAATACCAAATGGAACAAAATTGTGTCATTTTTTTTTATAAAAAACGAATTTTTACATGTATATTTTTATATGGAAGGTCAGGTATTACATAGATTTGTTATTTAACTATTTTGGATTATAAAATTCAACTATATAAGATTTCGTAATTTTTGATCAAAATTAACCACATAAATTTAAAACACATTTTTTTTGTTTAAAATTGAACTGCAAAATTGTCACCGCCATAGAAAAAAAAAAAAAATAAAGTGAATGTCCAAATTAATTATTTTGTCATCAGCTAACTGTACGGATTAAACTTTTTCTCACAGTAGCTACAAAATTTCTTAAATGCCTAAGGGTTAGATCCTCTGAGCAATGCCTCAAAAACGAATCAAAAGTTATGTAATGTATAATTATTGTACTGGGCAAACGTCGTACTCAACCATAAAAACACCAATAACACGCTAGAGTTGCATGCAACTATGATGCTTTTGTATTTGCTATTGTTATTTGCCAATGCTGCAGGTGAATTAGATCTATGTTACCAACTTTCCGGGAGAATTATGGATTATCAAATATGAAAATGTTGATGTTGATGCTTATGATCGCCACTTTGAGTGGCCATAATTTCTGCAATTTATTTTTAAAAAGTATACCTCACGCGGATTTTTAATAAGGCGACGCAATATCCAAAGGCAATGCAGCTGTTATTCTTTTGAACTTGTTTTTCTTTACTTTGCACAAAAAACCGTGACCCGCATTCAGTACAATAAAGGCAGGTGTTCCCTATTTTTAAAGTTGGTACTGTTTGAAGTCTTATTCGCTATTTCGCTATGGGGGATGTGGATATGATTGTGTTTTAGCATAATTAGCTTTAGCGAATGTCTTGCATACAAGCTTGAGTCTTTTTTGCCACCAAATTGGGTGTTTTCTTGCCAACAGTTGAATGGAGGTTTTATTGTTTCTTAGGAGTATTTTGTGCCGTTCAATAGAATTTTCCTACATTTCTGACCCATGTTTTTATTATTTTTTAAAGAGATGATTTCCAAAAGTGTACCGGTTTTAAATATGTTTATTCATTCCGTCATCACTAAATTTGTTGTATAAAAAAAGTGTTTTAATAATTTAGTTTTATTTTTGGTCATTACATGTAGTTAAAAATGTCTAAAAATCGTTTACACTACCAGTTTTATTATATGTATAAGAAACTATCCAGTGGATTTTTTTTTAATTGGTAGGACATTAACGTTAATTATGGAACATTAAATACCAATTCAGACTTCAAAAACTTCGTAAATATTTATAAAGACATTTTTTATATTTGCAGACAAATTATGTCTAAAAGAAATTAATTTCGTGTTAGTCTAAAATTTTGAAATTAATTTAAATGGTGATTAGTTTCACATTATACATATCAGAACAATATATTTATCCCTACCAAATGATTGATGATAAACATTATTATGGCATTTATTCTCGCACAGGTGCCGTTTCGCATGCAAAATATACAATTTCACGCATACGCTACTTATATAATAGAAATAAATTTTCTGCAAAATAGGCAGACGTTGGCCTTTCGAAATAATCGGATACCTGATAAATACAGGATTACTTGTTATTTTAATTTATGCTAATGTAAAAGAAAAATTGTAAAACAGGTTTTCGTTTCTTAATGCCCACTTATAATTAAACAGTGGAAGCTGATCCTGTTTGTGTATCTTTTTTCATGGGTTCAGGAATGATGAAATAGTGGGAATTGGAAAAAGCGATGTTAACCAACAGCTTCATGTAGTGTGGTTTGTAAAAAACACTAGATACATCTTGTAATTACGAGATGTTATTTATCATGTGTTTATTTATACAGGCTGTACACAGTCACGGAACGGTCAATCTTCGTTATTTGAAAAGCGACTTTTCTTGAAGTTTTTACATTTACAGAATAAAAATCTACACTCTGAATAATATATGTGAGCAATTATGATAGCTATTATTGACGAAGATGACGTTTGCGAAACGAGCCGCAGGCGAGTGAAACAAATCGTCGGAGTGACTAATGGTTATAATTGCGAAAATTGAGAAAAAATCATGTCAAACTAAAATAGAAAACTATAAACAAAGCACAAGCCATGGCAACACCACCTCTCGTCGATTGCAAGATTATTAGAAACCGTGGATTAGAATAAGCACCGACAATTTGAAATAATGGCTCGTTGTTCTAGTAACTACCAAAGGTATTTGCTTATTTGCTCAACGTACCCGTGAAATTTGAAATTCTACCCATGTTATTGACCGATGAAGTGAAATGTGGGCACTATTACTAATCGAAAAAATTTTAACAATGGGAATATTAAACGGGATTGGAAAAATTCGAATATCAAGTGTTCAAAATTGTGTTAATTAGTCCATAGAATTCTGATTGTAAACCTTAAATTTGTTGATGAATTTAGTGAAGTATTATAATTAGATTCTACAAAAAATGAAAACGATTAATAAACACATTGTACTTAAGAATGAAGAACACAAATGTACGACCTTTGATATAGTAAATAAAACATTTTTTATCTGAAAAATGAGTGGATCTTGAATAGTGTTTGATGTTTCTGGTCATGATTGGTCCTTTTATTTACACAATCATGACAAATAAGTCACGTGAAAAAACCAATACAACATAAAATCAGCCTAAGTCAATTTGTCTTAATTATTTTGTTGTGAAAATGTGAAATCCGCAGACTTGTTTCTAAAATCTGATAAAGTTTGACTTTTAAATGATTGTAGATTGAATCAAAAGAAAAAGTTACCGAGCAAATTATTAAATTTTGTCGTCGTCCATGCGTATTCGAACAGTTGGAAGTGGCGTTCCAAAATTGGAGTTACATTATTGCCGGTATTTATTGCGGACCATGAAAAATTCACGGTGACTGTGAGAAATTTGTGGTGACAATATCTTCGCAGGTAGATTTAACAAGGGTAAAGCTATAAAAATAAATATTTTTATGACCTCCCGAGCCCGTTAGTCAAGTTAAATCTTAAATTTGTCGGGAACGATGGTCGAAATCAACACGTGCTCCTATCGTTTTAAGTTAAAATCGTGTCATAATCTTTTAATTAATGTTGATTAAATGATTTTCAGCTTGCTATGGTATAGTTACTGTTCCGACTGGCCCGTGGTATTGTCGTAAATGCGAAAGCCAAGAGCGTTCCGTTAAAGTGGTGAGAGACGATTTTTATTACTATGCTTTTGAGTATGTATTTTCTGTTCGTGCTTCGCAAAAAGTACCGGTTGGTAATGTTTTTGGGGGATATTTTGCAGAAATGCGAATTGTGTCCCAGCAAACATGGTGCTCTCAAGCGCACCGACAATTCGGGCTGGGCCCACGTTGTATGTGCTCTGTACATTCCAGAAGTGCGTTTTGGCAATGTCACCACGATGGAACCGATTCAGCTCCAGTTGATACCCGCTGAACGATTCAATAAGGTATGTATTTTTTCGGTTTATTCTTGTGCATTTGTTGAAAATCAACAAAATTTCCAAGTAATTAAAAAAATTGTTTCTTTAGGTAAGTTGCATTTAGAAGTATTAATAAATAATAAATGGACCGAAAATTACCTATAAAAATAAGTACATTCAGGAAGATTGAGACTGATGCCATTACAATCCTATACAATAAGCTACGAAAGTATCAACTTGAGATTGTTGGGCAAATGGTGTTTATGCTTGTGCTTGCCTTGGTTAATTGTGTATTTCTTTTTCTTGCTTCTAAGGTCTTTACAGCTTGGATGTGTGTCTAGAATGCAGTATTTTAAATTTGTTTTTGGATTTGGAGTACAGTAAAAGTCACACAGAGGAATATGGGTGATAATAGGAGGAAACTGGTACGCACGGAACGCTTATTTGCTATTGAGTTTCCGCTTACTAAGGTACCCGTCAAACTTTTAAATTTTGACGAATAGTAACATTTATTTTTATAATTCTTATGCCATATGAAATACGTATACTAGCGATCGTTTGAACAAATTACTTATTGGTGTGTCTGTTCTGTTTTTAATTTCGATAATATAATCTTTGGCTCATTGTTACGGGGAAATAATTAACCCTGGACAAATAAAGGTTGTGACCATTTTGGTAGCTGAGCTATACATGGCTGTATTGTCGTTAGACTCAGTCTTTCTTGAATACTCGTACATAATTTTATTATTTCATTTTATTTGGTGAGGTGTTACGTGCATAAGAATGCCTTTGTGTAAATTTTTCAACTGTATTTTTAATTCAAATATTAAAAAATTGAATCAGTGTCACATCTTTTCTTAAAAGTTATATCAGCACAACTAGTTGTTGGGTGTTTACTTTCTAAATTTTGTCTTGCATTTTGTAATGACGTAAAACTACACGATGTAAGTTTTAATACTTTTAAGTATGCAGTAACATCTTTTTTTTTAATTCAGTAGTTTGAGTAGACATGAAAAATAAAATTACAAGGTGTAAAATTAATTCACTTCTATTTTTCCAGTTTTCGAAAATTGATTCGAGGATAATAAAAATAAGGTTGAGGTTCACTATGACAAATATGTTCACTTAACTTTGCAAAATATCTTTAGTTTGATACAAACAAGTATAAACAAAATGTAACTTCAATTATGGTCCAATTTTTTTTTTTACGTTATAAGTTGTAATTTAATTAATACAATGTACCTAATACTGAGTTGCGAATAATTAATATTTAACTACCAGTTCAAAGCAATACAAATTTTCAGATAATTCATTTTCTGGATCGATAGATCACAACTGCGGAATTTAATTAAATTATATTTAAAATGTAAAAATTATATTCACAATATTATATTTCATTGAATGCAGACGTTATAGAATAGATGTCTGGAAATAAAAATGAAATTAACATGGTTTCACTGATTGGAAATAATAATTTATATAGGAATTTTAATTTATGAAAAAACGTGACTTGAAGCCGTAGTCGATTAAATTGGGCTTTATCATGATGCGCATTTCACATGATCGTTGGATCTGTTGGCCGATTCTGGTATATCAAACTATACTTTATAAAGCAGTTTCCTCTGTGGAAATGTGACTACCCTACAATGGACAGATTTTAGTAATTTGGAATACGAGCAGACTTAAGGCAGCTGCACTAGAAAGATTAATTTTGTTCTTTTGATTTTTGAAATTCGTACCAATTTTATGAGAAACTTTGAAGTGTTTGTGTTCTCTTGATATTAAAAAAATATATACTGAGAGTAATACTAACGATTCCAAAATGTTGCATTGAATTTGGAAAGAATTTCAGTGATTGAAAGTCGTTTTGTTCTTTGATCATAAAAAAAATTACTTGTGTCATCGATATCGTAAACTCATTCCTTAGGTTTCTCACCTTTTACTCGTGAGAAGCTCAATTCTCATTTCTTTCTATTCTATTCACACTTTATCTCAGTACCTATGTCTCGTTTTACACCAATGTTAAGTTATATCCTATACTTCTTTCTTTAAGGTGGCTTCGACTACGTATATTTTAGCCATAAGGAGAAACACGGGTTGCATTTAAAAACCACAATTTAGTTTGTCCTAAAATTTTTATCAAACACGCCTTGAATGTTGTAAATCATATTACAATCTGATAGGTTTCCTTACATAAGAACGGAGAAATTAATTATTGAGTGGCACCGTGCATTAAGAATACATGCCAGCGCTGTAGTGGCAATGCTTAAATTAAGACGAAGGTATTAGTACACAGAATGCATTACACTTATCACGGATTGTTTATTTAAACCATGAAATTAATACAACCCGCAATGTTATTTGTCATTACGTAGATGCTCAGTAGGTGGCTGCACAATTAAGAATTTTTAATGGAAGTTAGTTTTGAGTCTTTCACATAAAATGAGCATTTTAGACGAATTATTTGGTGGTGGGTTTATGCTGACCAGTAGGGAGTTTTTTTTTTTTTTTTAATAATAATATTAATAAGCTTTAGTCCCAACAAGGAAAACTATTTACAGGACAATTATAAATTATAAATAATTGTCTTAAATTAAAATTAACTTTCTTACATACTTAGTGAAATTACTAAATTATAAAGATTCAAATCCTAAAAAAAGAAGGCAGTAAACAAGCAAAAACAAAATTAATAATAAAATAAAGCAGTGATACACAGAAAACTGTACTTCGGCTAAAATAAAAATTCTAATTACGCCTATTTAATTTTAACTTATAGCAAAAAATATCATTATTTGCGTTACAAGACTACTAAGTGCTTGCTTATCCATATGAACACATTTTTTTTTCATAAGTAGTAATAAAGTAACGAAGATTGAATTAATAGCAAACATTACCCAAATAATTTCAACCAAATCTTACGGGTTTGGATCGAATCATTTGTTCACGGTTGCTATAATTAATGACAGTAAACAAAAATTTTAAAAGCAAAAACTGAATTTCCTTCGTTTGTTAGGTACTAATAATACTGTCACACGCAAAAGTATTGTAGGTACTCAGCACTTTGCAGCGAGCGGCTTGAGATTTCTCCGCCTCCTCGTCGCAGATTTTCATAATTCCATACACTTATTAACCAGATTAAAGTGGACACGGACTAAAATTTCTTCGCGTGATACAACAATTTTGAATTCGAAACGAGAACTTTTTGAGATATATTTTAAAACATGTACTACTAGATTAATTTTTTTAACAGATAGAAAAATTTGGCTAATCATCCTCACCATTTTTTGGATTTCTTGTACCAGGAAACTAAAAAAAATTAATGAAGAAGGCGACATGTTTTATTATCTAACCCATTTTCCCGAAAATTTGAGGATACAGGACTGTTTTTCGCAGAAAAGTTTAGAGTAGTTTTTAGGTTCTATTTAGATTTTTATATTTTTTAAATTAATTTCGTTTTTTGTTCTAAAAAAAAAAGATGCTTGTAGCTGCATTTTTTAATTAATATTCTTAATATGTTTTTGTTTACCACTTTTTTTTTTTTTGGTTTCATTGATGTATCATGATGTCATAATTTGCTGAAAAGTTGTGGTAAAAAATAATTTAATTTTTGTGTCAAATGGCTGTCGGTGAAATTATTAACACAGTTAGTACGGAAGGATTTAAATTTAAAAATTAAATTTCTTCTACACGAAAATAATAATTGAATACAAAATTTTATTGCAAATATTGATGTATAGTCCATACATATAATAAATATGTAAATAATTTGACTACCACACCAAGCTATGCTCGAAAAATAAGACTATTGCATTGTACTGCATAATTTCGACTAATTATGGACACATGGCCTTATTATAACGTGGTTGGATTCAAGGAAAAGGGCAACTAAAATGTTGACTGAATAAAGACCACAAATGATGCTAGTTATTTCTGTCTAGCCCATGTAACAAATAAGGATAGGACTACGAAAGGTTGTCATGGTCTGTGTGAAGTGGGAGTGTCTAGGTTCAGCCCTATTTTCTGCGGCATAATTTAATCTTGTTCAAATATATTTACATTTCTGAAATTGTAAAACTAATAATAATTAGATAAAAAATTAGATTTAAAAAAAACTCATCTTATTTTCATTGAATCATGCTGAGAAATGACTAAAAGATTGAACTTCCTATAATTCTGGCGAAGTTACAGAAAGAGGTTTCCAGATGTTTATGCAAATCTGAAACATACTAAATAGATATTACAACGCTAGTGGATTTACAGATTGGCCTCGTCTCATGGATGCCATCCCAAAACGTTTGGATTCTTGGGAAGTTTTACGACTTGGACGCATATTGTCATGATAATGTAGTACCGGCGTTATTAAGGTTTGGTTTCAAAATCGGGGCATATAAAATTGTTCATTATCACGATAAACTAACGTAATGTTTTTTTTGGTACAGCAGTTTTGGGCAACTAAATTAGATCGGATTTTAATATTCTCAAATTGTTATAATTTACGAAATGATATTAACAACTAATCAGAAAATCCTCTGAAGGTTGTGTTTAGTATGTTCTTTTGTGCTTAAAAGTTGGAATTAACAGGGCTTTAGAGTCGATGTAGCCTTACCTACGTTTCTGGTGATATGCCTTTGGTCTACTTGTTTCTTGTAGTTAAAAATAATTATTTTAACAACTAAGTTTTATAGTGTACTGCTCTAAAAACGTAATGACAATAACATTTATTAGTGTTTTTAATTTCTATGTTCAGAAGAAATGGACCTCATTTTTTTTATAATGGCATACGTTACTCTTTTTTATTTATTGTGGAGATTTGTGAAGGTTGACATCTTTCAGTGTTGTTGTTTATTTTCTCAAAATTTAAGTTTATTAATAAAATTGTTAAATCTTTTTAGTAAGTCGACTCACAAATATTTTATCGTTGTTATATTTTGAATGGTGCTTTAAATTGAAGATATTGAATTGATCAGAAAATAAAGTACCGTTGAATTGAACATATTTTTTGCTAATTTACAAACAATTTTTGGGTAATATATATTATACCTCGTTTTGTTACGCTATGTACTAACTCGAGATTTTGTCAAACATAATTTAACCATTGCTTCTAATTTTCCAGACTTGTTATATATGCGAAGAAAAAGGAAAAGCTTCAAGTTCGACTGTAGGTGCGTGTATGCAATGCAATAAAGCTGGTTGCAAGCAGCAGTTTCACGTGACTTGCGCGCAAAGCTTGGGCTTACTTTGCGAGGAAGCAGGAAATTACTTGGACAACGTCAAGTATTGCGGCTATTGTCAGCATCATTATAGTAAATTGGTGAGTCTCCTACATCTAGATCCACTAATATTGCCTGACCACTTTATTTCGTAAAGAAAAAGGGAGGTAACGTTAAGACTATCCCACCTTACAAACCCGTGTCAGCCGAAAACCACCTGTCCGATTCAAACTCTGAAAAGGAAGGTGAAGGGGCGGTGACAACGAAATCGTCGACGACGACGTCGTCGTCGTCGTCGTCACAACTGTCTTCGAGCAAACGGAAAACTGGTTCAAGCAGCAAAAGCTCCTCATCCAAGACGAGCTCGAGCACGAAAAGCTCGTCGAGTTCGTCGCATCAGAAAACCGTCCATAACTCCAGTAGTAAAAGCTCAGATAAACTGAAGGTTTCTAGTTCGAGTGTTAGAAGCAGTGCCAAAAGTGCGGAAGACAGTGGTGTTAGTGTCGATACGCCTATCGCGGACAGTAAAACTGAAACGAGAGACAGTAAAGTAGATATAGATCATAATAAAACGGACGTTAAGGATTCTAAGAGTTCGAAAAAACGTAAGAATAATTCGAGGACGCCTACGCCGGTTGGTTTAGTGTCCAGTGAAACAGTTGGTATTTCTGCTACGACGGCTACCGTCGTGGCAGACAGTTTAGTAGGAGTGGCTTCAGCAAGTGAAAAGAAGGGAGGGGTGGGTGAGAGCATCGAGAAGCAGAAAAAGGTATGTCTGAAAGATTTTTCTTCTAATCTTAGATTAGGTAACCTGTTGTGATTGTAATTTTTTAAACCAGTAGTCTGTATATTTTAAATCGTTAGATTATACAAAATTTAGGACTATACTTAACAAGTGGTTCAGATTTTGTTCTAACATTTTTTGAAAACAAAAAAAAAAAAATGCAGTTCATGTGGTACAGGTACAGTTGAGGTGAAATCTTACCTTAAAAAATATTACAGTGGCAATTCGGTCGATGGACGATTACTATACTTCCTTAGCTTACGCTCGGGAAGTAAAAACAAAAACAAAAAAAACCCAACATTCTGAATTAAAATACATAATCTTGATGGATATAAACCCTGAGGTTCAACTCTAAATTCTATAATTTGAAATTTTCTTTAAATCAAAATAAATATTATGAGTTGAGTACAATTGCGGGAACTTCCATAACTTGGAACATTTTTTTTGCGACTACTTAGGAGTGGCAGCTATGATAGGAGTTTTCGTGAAACTTCCGATGCTAGTCTAAACATATCCTAATATGCGCTATCTCTAACGCCTTGTAATAACAGTTAGTAAAAGTTTTTCATTTATTCATTTATTCTTATCACTCTGGGTAGGTTTTTAGAAGCTATAGTTGAGATTAAGTTAATAACGCATTTAACGAGTCGTTTAGCGACTTCTGATTGGTGTAAAGTCAGTCACGTGGTACTTTAATGACGCATTAAAAATTTAATCGCAATCAAATATTTAATCGTACTTTCGTCAATCGAAATCGAAAAAAAATGTACAAAGCCTATGCGACAAATTTTAATAACCAGTTACATGAAATATATACATACCAACAAAATTAAATAGACATATATTGATTTATAAGCATCTGCTCATTAGTTTTTAGCCGCACTGATGTTAAAATTGACAACTGCGAACTAACATGTTAACATTGCTGCCAATAATTCAGAGTTGCCAACCCAAAAATTTGCTTCAATCATTAATCACCATATACAATACACGGTGATTATTTTATCTGTTCACGTTTGGATAAGTCCGAATAGGCAACATATTTTACTTTCCATAAACGACTTCGTCTTAATTTTTTTTTAATAAATACTCCTAATAAATAACGTGTAGACGGCAATGATTGCTCCAAAATTATGACAAATTAATTCTAACAGTCAAATTATTTTCAACTTTTGCTAACAGCTTTCGAATTCCGAAAAAACCGATATGCTTTTAATTTTGGGAAAGTGTGATGAAAAGGTCCGTTCGTTTATATGCCAGGCGATACAATTCCTTCTAATCAAGCATTCAAAAGACTCGAAAAAAAAAGATTGAGTGAAATTGATCAATTTAAGAAAACTAAAGTAAGTCAGAAAATGAAGCTGCCCTGATTGATAGAATTTTGGCCATTATTAGTTGTTTGACGTGTTTGTTGTCATTGTGACAAGTGATTTTTGTGTTATTGCATTTAGTATGATTGTTAATTTAAAAAGATTAATAGATGATCAAAGTTGCTTATGATATGCAATGTGTTGCCTGCACGAAAGTATTCAGGCTTGAACAGATAAAATATCCAGCCTGTACATTAACAACTAGATATACTACTCCAAAAGCTATAAGGTTATATGACCAACATAATAGTAGTTGACCGTAAATAAATACCCCCTTTGTGTGGTTCGCACTAAGCTTACCGGTTGGCAATAAATCGTCTTCTAAACATTTCTTGCTCACATTTAACAGGCCCGGATTTCAAAGTAAGTGGTTATTTCGGAACCCTCAGCGGCTGCAGGTAGTAAAGAAATAATGGAGTGGTGGATTTACATATTTAGTGAAAGCCGCCTCTGAACGAAACCTCAACAGCCGGTCGAGTGGACACATTATTTACGACCCTAAAACCTTTTCTATTGAAGCAACTTAACTTCGACACAATGGGATAATTTTATGATGGCCATATAACCTTATAGCTATTGGTTTACTATATTTTGTTTTGAAGAAATTTGTCTGTTATTATTGTAGCAATAAAAAATGTCTGATTTTATTTAGATAGAATTTTCCTCGCTCCTGCAGCACACACCATACAACAATTTCAATTTCTTAGATAAATTATAAAATTTGATTCTGCGAATTTTATTTATTAGTTTTTTTTTTTGTTACAATTTTAGTGGGTTAGTATAAAAAGAAATCAAGGACTCCCAAGATTTTTTCACGCCATACTCTATTAACAACAGTGCTGTCTTTTCAGAATTTCAAAAAAGCGAGAGAAGCTGTTTTTCATTTAACCAATAAAATATATTGCTCCATGTATTAATTTTTTTCGTAAGGTAAATGTGTTTTTTTTCAAAAACTGCATTCGTTAAAGGTTAAAAATACCACTGGATTGATTTAAAAAAAAATAAAAAATCAGTGATAGCTTCTTTGAAAAATTATAAAATTTGACTTTACAAGTTTAATTGTTGTATAGTTAAAAAAATCTAGGTAGACTCATAAACAACAAGTTTAAGATTGTTATTTTTTAAAATTTAAATAGCGTTTACTATGCACAATATTTAAGTGACGTGATCTAATTGTTGGTGGGGATGATCAGACAGATTTTGGTTATCGTTATACCATCTACATGATTTTCATAAAACACAATTAAAAATTGAAAACAATATTCCAATGTTTCGAGAGACCACAGACAGACGGACGGACGTAAACCGGGATCAATTGTTTCAAACCCCGGAAGTCATGAAATGTCAGAATCGTTTTCTTTTTTTTTTTTTTGGAAATGTTTCATTCAAGTATACTAAAAAGACTGTAATATGTATTACATTTTTGTAATTTGAAACGCAGATTAAAAAAAAGAATTATTTAAAATCAGTGTTTTTTTATCGCTTGATTTGAATCAATTGATGAGGCAAATCTTGATCTCAGGTATATCAAGAATGCTATTTTGTACATTTTAAATATGATATATTAGCAAAATTTTGGGATGACGTCATCCATTTTTTCGACACAAATTTTAGCGAGCGGTTTACCACCTATACGATGTTATTAAAAGAAATCTAAAATTTCTCGACAGTGTGACCATCGATTTTGGAGATACTTGTTTAATAAAGTCGCTATCAGACGATAGACAGACGGAAACGGGAGACCAACTTTGCATATTCTAGTAGTTATGAAACGTCGAAACACCATAAAATTTCAATACTTCTCTAGTTTATGCTCGGAAAATACGAAAGAAATTTTTTGCTCACACGTCAAGGCACCGATATATGTTTTGTAGGAACGAGCGTTCTCACAAAATCAGGTGTTCTACCTGACGCATTCATAATCTCTGTACAAATGTAAATACGTCCTATCTTTCGTCTACCTGTCCTACGCTCCTACATACTTTCTCTTCCAGTTTCGAGAATTTTCTAAATTCTTTCTTCACCTACTTCCACCTCTTCGAAACCGAGTCTACCTGTGGATCATTTAAAACACCCTTCCTTCTTCTCCCTGGCACTTCCAAACAGTAAGGAACTAAATAAAATCTGAAAACCGTAACCGTCGCTTTTTCTAAAAATCACCAACGATACCCACAGTTTTAATATCGTCTTATCAATATACTCTTTAATGTTTTTTTTTTCTGAACTACCGTCTTTAATACAGTAAATGTATTTTTTTTGAAATTCCAAAATTCTTTTATTGGACAAAAACGATAGATCTTTTTTCGGAAATTTTGGAAACAAATTATTGTTATTAGTCGTAACTGTACTTGCCAAAATTTATGTATTTATATAAAAATCTCATTTCAAACATGCACCATGGTATGCTCCTTTAATAATAATCCATCCATTTTTTGTTTTCTAATACAAATATGGGGATTATTATATAAAAAAATAACTAACTGTAATTCTTTTTTAATTTTTATTAAATACACATAATAATTTTCTTATTGAAATGTGGTTACAAAGGCAACAATTTTTTGTGAACATATTGTATTTGTGACAGTTTAGATCATATTCGATTCTCTGATATGGCAACATTTGGGTTTTATGATTCTGGCTTTTGCAAGTCCCAAGTTTGCTAAAAAAAATATCTTAAACTAATACCGTTAAAGATAAGCCGGTCCTGTTTAAGAGAAGCGTGTCAGCCAAATACAGCAAAGAGCCGCTATTTAAGTTTGGGATGGATCTAATAAGCTGTGTTATTCGTTGACAAGGGTGTTTAAGTCGTAAAGCCACTATATTCATTGGCACACTATACCTATGGAACTGTGTTAAGTTCAACAGAATTAAAATAATCCCTTTTAACTTTGGGACATTTTTATTGCTCTCCCGTCGTAGTTTACCAGCCAAAACTCATTACTGCCAGTGTCACAAAGCAAATTGCTATTCAAAACATTTGCATTTTGGGGTATAGCTGATTTCAAAATAAGAGAGTAAAACTACCTGTAAAACTATTAGTCTATTGTACCTGGTACAAGCTGTCAATCATTCCTATTGGCCCACCTACCGCTTAGGCTTGGAAAACCCTAAAAATCAAGTTAGTTTTCCAGGTAGTTTTACTATAGTTATAGTTCAAGGAGTTATTCGATGTGTCCAGTGTTCTAGAAGTAGGTGAAAATAGAGATTTTAATGCTCTCACAATGTCCTAGTGTATAATTAGATCTTATGTCCTTACTGGAAACGACATTAATTTATATCATGCAGTGAAAAATTAAATAGACGAATTTGACTCTCCTCCTTTCTTATATTTCGACTTTCAATTTGTCAGGCGTAAAATTATGATTCTAATAAGATTTATTTTATAACCTTGTGTGTAGATTGTCTTTCATTCTCAGAAGGTTTAGGTATAGGTTCCGACGAAGAGCAATTCTATTATTATTAGTAGGTATAATATATTAAGTGTTAACCCATTATTTTGGCACAAGAGTTATAGTATTTTACAACTTTGATTTCTTCCCTACCATTGTCAGCGAATAACGCAGCTTAATTTAACAACCGTAGAAAACACAGACTTAATTGTTATGTGAAGCAAGAAAGTATATTTCTTCTGATCATCATCATTCCTAGGACTAGATTAGTATATATTTCTAAATATGTTTTGTAAAAATGTACTACTAGAGGTAAACTATTGATAATGTCTAGATTTCATTTTAATCTTTTATTGTAATACGTATATTTGGCTTCTGCCGTATATTAATTTTTTTTTTTTAATTGTCAGATCAAAGTGGAGACTACACAGTCTATTCTAACAAATCAGCCGATCGTTGCCTTAACTTCAATATCAACGATTAAAACCATATCGCTCGCATCGACGACATCCACGTTAACCGATAGTATCGGTTTGGAAACGGCCCCTTCTCCTTCTCTACCCCCACAATCTATAATCCAACAAGGAATACCACATACTGTTAATTCGTTGGTTGTTTCGGTACCACTCACGAGTACTAATCTGAGTCCACACCCGCCAATCTTAAATAACCAAACGAACGTCGTAACGTCAGCGCCACCACTCATACTTCCCGAAAGAGGTGTAAGTAGTCCTGAACGAACATCCAATACCGCATCAGTTGTCATGACTGGAGGCAATAGTAACCAAGGAAGTTCTATAATTTCTTCAGAAATGAGTGGAGGCGGGTTGAAAATCTCGTATGAGAAGCAGGATGCTGTCACTACGGAGGTGGATATGGAGCTGGAGGTTTCACCGTCGAATCAGGATGTAGGAAATAAAAGGTACCAGATTTTACGTTAAGGCTATCTTGTTTCTCTTTTGGGTTGTTTTATTTTTACTTGTTTGTTATAACAAATCTTATTATTCCTTGTTTTTCAGATCTCATTCTACAGAGAAATCGGAAAAAAGTGGACGCGGAAAGAAGAGGAGTTCTGGGGGCGCAAATGGAATTATTAACCAATTAAACAATACTTCCATATCTTCATCGTCATCGTCGACGACGAAACGTTCAAGTAGATCTCAAAGCTCGGCAACACCACCACAACAAGGTGCTTTTTCAAGTATAAGTCAATCACAAATAAAAGATTCACCACCAAGTAGTCCCAGTTCTGAAAGTCAAAGTGCCGCCCCGTCGCAGAGTGGCCGCGGAAGATCGAAAACGAGGAAAAGTGCCCCGTCGGCTCTCGCTAGGCCACAGTCACCGAAGGATACAAAAGACGTTAAGTTGTAAGTAAAGTATGTTCGAGTCCGAATTTTTCCCATTTTTATCAAAACCACAAACAGCCAATTTGTTGTTACTTTAGTTTTGTGATATTCTCTAATGTAATGTTTGTTGACTAAATATTGTTCAGTTTTTTAATAACCTTATTTTTTTTATATACTTTTTTCAGATTTCAAAATGGTGTCACAGCGCCTCACATGTTGGGCAATCAGTTAAATCCTAACTCCAATATGGCTCAGAAAATGTCAGACCATTTGAATTCAGAACTGGAGGCACACAGCATATTCACTCCAAATGACAACGCCAATATGGTTGGACCTCAACTACATCATAGGGTTATTGCTTCGGTATTTTTCGTTGTTTTCGGTTTTTCTCCTTTAACGTAGAATCTTTCTCTAGTGATTCGAGTTTTCTTTTTCTTTTCTCTTTTCTATTGTTGTGTAAATTACCCATCGTCTTTCTTAATAACCTGCTAATGCTTTATCCATTTAGTGTTTGAGCTGCAGCATGTAATTAATATAGATGTTGGGAATTGTAATATGGCTTCGTATTTTTACACAAGCAAATTTTAGGCAAGGGCAAGTAGTACAGGCGGTTCAAGTACAGCATCGGCAGGGAGTGGTTTCTCTACCATGTTAGGAGGTGGTAGTGGAAACATACCTCAAACTCTTGACCAGCTGCTCGAAAGGCAATGGGAACAAGGGTCGCAATTTTTGATGGAGCAAGCTCAGCATTTTGACAGTGAGTGTATTTTCAATTTTTTTTTTCTAAACGCAGGGTTTTTTTATTTTTTCAGTTGCATCATTGCTGTCGTGCTTGCATCAACTGCGAGCAGAGAATTTACGGTTAGAAGAACATGTGAGTTCGTTGCTTCAACGAAGAGATCATTTATTAGCTGTCAATGCTAGGTTGGCTATACCGTTGACCGGTCAGCCGGCCACTCCTCAGTCTTCCCATTCCCACACGGGTGAGTTCATGACTAGTTTTTGTCTTTGTTTTGTGGCGGCACAATAATACGTAGTAGTAAACGAAGAAAGATAAGTTCCTCTGTAGTCTAGTGGTAAGGGCACCCGCCCGGCAAGCGGTTCGATTCCTACCGGAGAAGCAACATTTTTCTTCTGCTTACCTAGGTTTCATTTATTACATTTAGCTTTACGATCAATAAATAAAAAAATGTAGATAGAAACAAAAAAAAAAATCGTATACAATTTCGATGTGGTCTCTTTGTCTTATTGTCACTTTGATGTTTGAAGTTTAAAAGATTTTGTCCGCAGTGTCAAAAGTTACAATATCTAGGTGTTTGTAACAGGGGAATGATGTTGACGTCCAAGATTTTCTAGCCTCGGCTGTTTATTTATGCGAGGCTACAGGTATTTCATTAAGGGGTATCGCTAGAGGAGGTATAACAATTTTTTCCTTTTTTTTTGTGATAAAGTGATATTAATATAGATTCGAATTATATTAGATAGATTCGAGCTAGGCGGTTGAAATTTAAGCGCTTCGAATTAACCCTTTCTACTGCAGATCAGTGGCTCGCAGCCGATGTTCCGTGTTATAAAAAACAATATGAAAAAAATAGTGTTAACTGAACGTCAGTTGATGATTTTAAAATCCATATTCATGAAATAATGATTTTAATAATTTTCAAGTATTGGTCTCGTTGAAAGTAAAACTATTTGTGTAAATTATCAAAAATAATACCAATTGGAAAGCGAGAAGCGGACAAAGCAAGGTTGCAGCCGGCCTGCACTGCTCACTGGTAGTGGGGATAAATAATATGTAGTCAATGAAGTCAATGAACAAAAACATGAAAATTAAAAAACCGCATAAGAAAGAATAAAATAACCGGAAACATGTTTCATTATTCGAACAGAACCAAACGTTATATTAATTTTTATACAATTCATTCCAAAATTTCGTCCTATGTCATTTTCAAATTGTCTGTTTTCGTCAGTTTTTTCGATTACCTTCTGGATCCGGTTGATCTGTTACTGCTTCCTATATAAAACCTACCTGTAATAATTTATTAAATAAAGATTCATAATTATTGTTACAAACATCATTCGTGTTTAGTTTAAACTATCTTGAAAAGTTTTCGTTTCGTATTTAAAATTTTCTGTAGTCAAACCAGTAAATTTTGATCTTTGTCCGCTTTATTCTATCTTAAGTGTTTACGGATTATGGAAACCCTTAGCCTAAAACTTCTCGCTACTGGGTGTCAACAATACTTTTTTGTGCGACAGTAACTTTCGCTAATTACTTCATAGATTTTTCTTTGCGCGAATATTTTATTAGTTGTGTAGATACAAAGAACAAAAATAAAAGAATTTCTGCTAATAAAAAAATAAAAAATATAGTTATAAAAAGTATATATATCTACTCGCGGAAAAGCATTAGATTTTATTCACATTCTTAAAAAAACAAATTTCGTATTCACACGAAAAAAAAAAATAAAAGATCTTTTTATTTTTATCTTAATAAAACGTAATAATAGAATAATAGCAGACTAATTTGTATGCTGTAATTCTAGAATCTCGAAAGTTGTTCTGTTAATCTAATCAATGCATATCATTACTTGGTCTTAGTACCCGTAATGATAGAAGTCTTGCCTGAATGCCGGTCATTTCCGGGTCAGTGGTGGGTCTTAATAATATTAGTCAATAATACCTATTGTGTCTACCTACTCCACTTTTGTGACGAGTTTGATCGCGCGGTCTACAATGGTAGACCATTTTTAGAGTTGCCCCATTTAGTAAAATTTGCCTATTTTTGTTTCTTTCCTTTTTGAGCAAACAAAATTATGGACAAACAGCAGAATAAACATAAAACTTCACTTGGATTGTACTTGTCTACGAACAAAGTTTTATGATAATTGAAAAAAACGAAATCAAAGAATTTCATAAAATAGGCAATGAACATGAACATCCAACCGGCCAGAAAAAGTGATTTATTACCCTAGAAAGTTTTGACCCACCCTCCACAGCGGGCAGTTAAGTGGATTAGTGCGATGGTTAGAGTCGCCCGACAGTGAAATTTTTGTTTCAAGAAATTGAAGATATGAAAGGCTTTGGCTTTAAACAGCACTTTTGAATTTATTCAGTTTTAGGTAACTCTTTTTTTAATATATTTACTTCGTACCGGCAGATTGCGACCACATCCGGAATCAAGGATTTCGGGTAACATTGCATATAAATAAAACTGCTCTAAGTGAGATACCATTTTTTATGCCAAAACATATCTCTTTCAATTATTCAGTATTGTAGATCACATTCTGTATCCACAATAAAATAACATTTTTGGCGATGCCTTATATGTAGTTGACCTTGGACTTATACTTATACAACATATAAATATAGTTTTCTTTTAACAAAATTTTATTTTTATCTTTTGGGTCTAACTCTAAATATTTAATAATTTTGTTTGCTATAGCTAATTTTATATTTTCTTTTCTGGCATTAAAAGGGCATTTCATCTCTATTATAGTCTTCTCCAATTAAACCATCTGGAGACGTCCCCGTTTTTTTTTCTGTCAACAAAAAAACCACATGATTCTACAATCAACCCTATAGATTGTATACATTTTTCTCTTGCCACTTCTTCGTTGTCAGTATCCCATTGGAGTAAATTGGACAGTGTAATAAATTTAATAAATCTTTAACAGTATATATAAATTTGATACTCTTCTTAACGCTGCCATAAAAGGAGAATATACACCACTATTCAAAAAGTTGGAATATTCTATTGGATTTTCAGTTTGTTTAAATTTTGGACACAATAAAATTATGTGGTGCAACTGGAGTGATCACCAAAAATGTGAGCAGGATCGTTTAAAATCTCTGCTTTTAAATTTTCTACTTTTTTTTATAATTATATCGCAACTTTCTGTGCTAAATTTTTCTACCAAACTACACATTTTACATTTGTAGATAAAACTGCTTTTGAAACCAAAACGTGTTTCATTAATTATGTCAACATCAGCAAAAGTGCATGAACAAGTTTTATGCCCAATATTCTTTAAACTGTTAACAATTTGACAATTCGAATAACTTTGTTATTTGAAAAGCTGTTTTTCTGAAATTTGCTTTGGATATAATATAGTTAAACATGGCGACTTGATTACATTGTTTCTTTTTTTTATCGCTCTCCGTTTGACAGACAGGGCCGTCAATTTTTTTTTATGGAACACCCTGATTTTTGTTTGACATTTTCTAAAGCAGAATAAAAAACTACTTTCAGAAATTATCAACATGTTTATTTCTACTGATACAAAAAAATTGATTGCATTAGAAAATGTCAAAAAATCTGGGTGTTCCATTAAAAAAAAAGTTGTTGGCCTTTGGTGTCAAACCGAAAGCGATAGAAAAAGAAAAAATACTGTAAACAGGTCGCCATGTTTAACTATATACCCATACAAAATTTCCAAAAAAAAGCTTTTCAAATAACAGAACTAATGGGGCTATCCATTCTTGAAATATCACTTAACGAAGAAGGAAACTACTTACCCAGACTTCGCAAATAAAATTCAAAAAGAAATTTTTTTATCAAATCGAGATCTAAACCAGAGCAAAAACTTGATCGAAACTTGTTTCGACAGAACTTCCCTTGCTCCTGAAGTACAATGAAACATATCCAGCAATTTTTCGTGTTGGGTCTTTTCTTTACACAATTTTGTGATGACGTCATCATCATTTTTGCAAGGACATGTGTACCAACACTGGTGCAGTGTAATACTGAAAATAATGGTATGGTATTCCAAAATTCTGGGAAAATTGATTCATTCATTAATTTCTTTGGGCCATCTGTATAACCCAATCTAAAAAATATGAATGCAATGATAAATCACAAGTAAAAATTCATATTTTGCACATTTTGGGTAGAATTTATTCGGGAAAATTTTGAGATGTCATCAATTTTTTGGGGGAATAAAGAGATATGTTTTGATTAAAAATTTACCATGCTTACAATAACTTTAAAACGTCTGCAAAATTTCAAAGTATTCATTCTCTCACAATGGTCACTAGTGTATTTTCGCAGAGGAAATAAAAATATAAAACCAAATTTTGGTTTTCTAATTTTATAATAGATGGTTTAACGCTAACTAAAATTTGGCTAATCATCCCCACCATCATTGGAATGACGTCGTCTCCAAAATTTCTAATACTTTTTTTTAATTGTATAAAATAAGGTACTCCTGCACTTGTGGTGTATAAATCCGTGTAGAATTTTCACCCTAGACATTCAGAATTAAAAAAAAAAAAAATTAACTTACAGGGGTTCTCATAAAATAAATAAAATTCGCATAATCAAATTTTATAATTTTTGTAGGTATAGTGCTCCAACTGCTGGTTCGTTTTTATGATTGTATCCTATTGTGAAGGAGTTAAGTGTTTCACAATAGGCCTCTGCCGTAAGTAATCCAGCGGTCATAAACCATCAAAGGACCAACTGTTTACACTACACAGGGCTGTATGCGCCCGTAAACCCTTAAGATGATTTATGGCACGGCTATTTACATTTTCAATAGAGTTCCTAATACTTGCGGTAATTGAGATTGCAGTGCCATAAAAACAAAGTCAGAGTTGGACCACTATACCTACCTTGAAAAAACCCAAGATTACTATGAAATACAATAAGATACGATAAAATATTCTTGCAAATTTTACCTTTCTATTCTATCTACTTACAGAATATGCCCAACACATAAGTAGGTACAATTTTTGTGGAAACATGAATTAAAAAATAAGAGTGAGGATTATGGTCGGAATTATGTATATGAACACGCATTTTTTTGTTATGTGCATTGGAACTAAAGATCTCATCAGTCTCTGACGATGATTTTATTAATTTATTTTAAAACACACATTTGGCTTTTTTTCATTTCTTAGGACAGCAAATTAGGTTAAACCACATATCAAAAATTTTTCTTTCAAGGGACGATCACTTTATGCTAAAAAAATAGGAGGTGTTATTTAAAAAAATCGTCGTCTTCGTTGATTCACTATTAAAGTCTCTCCAATCCCTTAAATGTGACATGTGAGGGCGCATACGTCGGGAGGGAAAGGAATCTGTAATGTCGGTTAAATGTCTGGCATGGTCTGACTTTTTGACACAATTTGACATCATGTATTTCGGTTTTTACTTGAAAAAGAGGCAAAATTTCGGTACCGGTGCCAAAGTCACAACGCCATGGGTGTGGATGGTCTTCAAAGGGATATGCAGTAGGAAAATTTTTCTTTGAGGTGTTTGCATTATTATCGGAATGTGTATCAGGAATTATGAAGCTGCATTCTGGATCACGTTTAGTGCTTGCTGGGTAGCTTGAAGAAGTAGGAACAGGTAGCGGTGACTTGGAACCATGGAGGAACAAAGTAGGAACAGAGCCGGGTTTAAGTCTTTTATTTGAATAGTAACAACTTCTCTCAAAAGTGTTTACCACAAATGTATAAATTATTGGCAATATTATCACCTGAAATGGTTTTAATGGCTATACATTCCCTTAGGTAAAAGATTCATGTTGGAGTATCTACTTGTAGCATTAAAAACCTTTTTGCACCACAACCTTTTGTTTACAGTGTTTGAAGGGAATATGTGCATTATTTTGTGGTCTCTAGGATCTTTGATTACCCCACAAGCAGGCACAGAGCAATATTTTTTGGACATGATGATAATATCAATTCAAGCACAAACTGTTTTTTCGCACGACAAAAGGGATTAATTACAGGTTCCTGTAACTCCCGAAGGGGGTGACATCTTTTGATATTTTCCCTTTTGACAAGTCGGACGATTGTAACCAATTGGAGAGACTTTAATAGTGAATCAACGAAGACGACGAAAAAAATTATTGATGACGCCATACATCTGTCAAATATAGCTCAAAACTTTGAAATTAATGTTACAAAATGGCAATTTTTATATACTAATCGACGTGTTTCAGCGTTTTTACTTCCCTAGCGTAAGCTGAGAAATATTGTGTTTTCTTTCGTAGTAGATAAATATTTTAGTTCTACCTGCAAGCCGTGAAATACACTTGTCCAGCTGACAATAGTATAGACAGCGTCAACTTGTCTGTAACATGTGAAAATCCCAATTATAATAAACGTCAGCAGAATGTTTACAATTTTTCTTTTGGAGACAAAACTATAACTTGTTTTTACGTTTAAAATAGCTTTAGGGCCGTCCCTAAAATGCTAAGCAATACGTACCATCTCAACCGCAATGAGAGAAAGTGAGACAAAAGTGGTAAGGTTTGAGAAGTATTATTTGTTACGGTTTTACAAGACTATGGAATTCTTAAAACAGACAGACTGTAGCAGTTATTTTCTCAGTAAAATGTTCCGTAGAATTTAGTATTAATAATAATAAATTCTCCATGGATTTTTGATGTCACTGTTTCCGTTAAAGGTTAAAGTTTGTCCAGAATTATAAGAATTTTATGGACTCCCAACGTTAATGCGTTTTACAACCCTGTCATCAATTCTATTGTACAGGTAAAGAGCCTGTCAGGAGAAAGCCGATGTTTTCTGTATCTGAGTTCGCCACGCTTTCATCTGTACAATAAAATTGACTATAGGGCTGTAAAACGAATTAATTTTGGGAGTCCATAAAATTCTTATAATCTAGACAAACTTTAATAAAGTTTTACTCTAAACTTCTGGGTTTCAGTCACTACCACTCCCAGCCGAAACAGAGTAAAAACAACTTATTGCAAGTAAACAAAAAGCCCTATTGTGTAAAAAAAAATGGAGGGAGCAATATATCATTTACTAGTATCAGAGGGCCTTCATTCCGGTATATCTGTGGAATATAAAAAATGTCTAAGAATTCAACAAAAATAAAATAAAAGCTGCAGAAAAACATCGTAAAGCATTTTTAGTAGAGTAAAAAAAAAAACAACTAACGCTTCCGCAGTTTATTGTATTGGCTACTGTTCTTACCTTCAATTTTTTACTTCCAGTGAATAATATTCATCCTGCTGTGGGAGCGAGCCACGGTGATGTGCCAAGATCATCAACACGACATAGCGGCAACGGAACGAGTTATCCCGCACATCCGCAGGGCTCTCAACATCCGAACGCTACCCCCGTCGTCGAAAACGGTTTGCCTTCCGACCCTGCACAGCAATACCCACATTCCCACCGCAGCCCGGCAACGAGTCAGTCTCAGCAGAGTCCTTCAATTAGGTTAGTGTTTTGGCTCTTAATTTTTACAATTGCACTGATCGCGAACATTTTACAATGAATATGAATAAATTATAGACATTCGCCGGCTGGTTCAGGGTATCCCAATAGTGGTCTGCTGCGTCAAAGTGCAGACACTAGCGGACGCTCTGCGCCTAGACCTCAACCGTATCCGTTATATCAGGGTCAGGGCCCGGGGCCTTCGTCGCAACAACAGGTATTTTGACTGTTAGAAGTTGTTGCACTATTTGTTTTGATATTTTTCTTGCTTTTAATTGTCAGAGTCGTTTCGTCATATCATTGCCTCGTTTGAGCTGAGTTTATGCGGTCCCACTGAGCTTGAATGGTCAGATACAAATAGAAAATGATTCGCCACGTCGTAATTAGAATGAACAAAAAATCAATAACAAATGATAAAAACTTGTATATTGTATGAGAAAGAAGGAAATAAAAATTTTTCTTTTGTGTGGAAATGAATTTATTATGTACTGTTTCAATATACGAGGCATTTGCGATTTTCTTTACTTTGAATTAAAATGATGCAATTAGGCTGTTTTCATATTTTCATGATAATCGTAAATGAAGCAATGGACTTGTCTGAAAAACTTAGCTCAATTAATGTTATCTTATCTATTAGTGTTACGAAAGTTTTTAACCTTTTTGTTCATTAAACTGTGAGTATTAAAAACCATCATTACAAAAATAAGGTTTATTTCAATGCAAAGTATTGAAAAAGACATTGGATAAGCGGTTACGGAAATGGTTGATTTTTATGAATGTAAAAATAAACCACTTGGTCTAAAGTTATTTAGACAGAATTTCCTTCACCTTTGAAGAAACATCAATTAATAAATAAGTCTTAAACAAATTTTAGCATTTAATAGCAACCACCAACGTCATACTAAAACATACATATCTGTATCTCTTTGGAGATTAATGGAGTAGGCCATGATACTAATATAAAATAGCGTTGTCTTTCGGATATTGTAGAAAGGGGTGCTGGTCACTTGCGCGCCACGGCTAGTTTTCCCCATGTGGCAGATGTAATCCACAAAAACGTCGTAGGATACTTGGGTACAAATAGGGGATTATAATAAGGGTTGTCATTCCATGAGTTTCGTAGCAGTACAGGAATAAAAAATCAGCAGTTAAACTTTATCCATTTGTATGTAATTCGAAAACAAATTCGTACAAAATATTTAGCTCCACATATTTATTGATCTCTTGATATACCAGATTTAGTTTTGTGCCAGATTTTCTTAACTATCAAAACTGACAGACTGGAGTACATTTGTAGCACTAGGAGAAGTTTTGGGACCGCACAAACAAAGCATTGCATTTTTTGACAATTAGGTTGAGCACCCTTGTTGTTTGCCTCATTGTTTTAGCAAATTCGGTACATGTTGGTGGACTCTTTTCGTTTGCGAAATGTATGGAACATTTTGTCTAATTTTTCACGTTGTAAAGTGTTCCTACATCTTGTTGAACAGTGTGCGATAGTAAACGCTTCATTAACTCATGAATAAAAGCTACTAATACCGAAGTACTGTGAATGTGTAACGGTTTCAGTTGGTTGTTGCATGTCGGTTGTTGATTTGTGATTTGCGTTTGCTGATTTTTAACGTTTTATTTCGCAGATGGTAATACGAAGAGATTCGGATGTATATCATCAGTCGTCATCGAAACCTAGCTGAGAGTATGTGGATCCATCTTTCAGCATAACAAGGCTTCTAGACTTGCATTGACAAATCATTGATTGTTGGTTGCCCTCGAATCATTGTACTTTATGAAGAAATGTTTTTCTTGATAGATTTTTATGAAAAAGGAAAGAAATCTAACGAATAGTAGGTTTTGCAGAATATCATTGAATTATATAATTTATCACGAGATCGTGAATTTTTATTTGTACTTAAGGTGACCACTGACATGTGTTCTTGGTATACTTGGATTAATACAAGTAGTTTTTTTCTCAGTGTCACCAACAGATAAATAATTGACAGTGCTATTATCAAGTGTTTAAAACCAAAATAAATAATAATTTTATTACTACGTTTATTTTAATTTGTCAACATAAAACAATTTGGTGAGTATTAGTATTTGCTTACTTAGATTCATTTAGAAAAAAAGTAGTTCTGGTAGCGATATTTTCACCTATTTATTTTATCATCCAAACTTAGTAAGGTACTACGTTTGTTTTAATTTGTCAACATATTCTTAATAAGATGTTAATTAATGTTGTGTGTAATTGTGGAAAAAAATTCTGTATGTGTGTTAGAGAAGAAAAGACGCTGATGCATGAGATGCAAATACGTTATAGACTTACATTTTTTTTGTAAGAAAAGGTAGTTGTATTAGAGTGGCCATTAACACATGTCAGGAGAACCCAAGATCGAACTTGTCTGAAAACTGATACAGTACAGTATAGATTATTCAATCAAAGATGCCGTAATTAAGATACATTTGTGATCTTCTAACACTTATTTTATTCTCTTTTTACAAAAAAGATATTAAAATTTGTCAACGACTTGTTAACTGTCTCCATATTTGGAAAAAAATCGTGTAAAATTTTATTTTCCTCGTTGAAGTACTATTAAGTTTTAAGTGTTAATTATTCTGTTATAAATGTCAGATAAAAAGCTTTAAAATTGATCATATTAACATTGTGTTCTGTTTGAGTGAGTATGGAACGTATTTCCGTAGTTTTTAAGTAGGCTATTTTATATTTACAATTTTTATTGATAATTGTAGACTTAATTAATATCACTGCCACTGCAATATGCTCAATTACGTTTCTATTAAGTCTAGTCACATTTTCCAACAGTGAGAACTCGATATGGATTGAGAATAAAGTTGTTGACATAAAGACGATTAAGTTATTGAGATGCATGCACAATTTTCAGAAGTAAAAATGCGCGGAACCGGTTACAATACAGAAAGCTACGAAATGTACAATGCTAGAGTGAAATTGTATAGTTTTAGTTCATACTCAGGGATATTACTATAAACTTAACTTTTGGTTTTATTGCAACGCCTTTCAGTTAATTCATTTGAAAGTCTTATACAATTAGTTTCAAAATACGCATTTTTATGCCAGTAATAATGCCATATTAGTTGATTGTAAATAATAATCATAGGTTAATTTAGGATTTTATTCTGTATATTTGTTAGTTTAGTACAGGTTAATTCTTTTTATTTTGTAAAAACACTCGTCTAAATAGTAATAGTTTTGTAACAACATAAAACAAAACGAAAATGTGAATATCCCTATTTTTTGCAGATATTTTTGGGATTTTTTGTACTTTTATAAATAAGATTTTAGGAAGTAATCTTAGACGAATTATGTACGTGAATGTTGTCTGTATATTTTGTAATATTTAATTTTGTTTTTTGTTATGTAAGATATAGACTTCGTAGAAGAAAAATGAGTTTTATTTTTACAGAGCCACAATATTCATCATTCAGTAGGGACAACTCGTATCGGCGCCTTTGATGGTTGTGATCGGTGGTCGTTGCTTAAACTGTTTCTAGATGTGTTTCAGATTAACCAAAGTACCGCACTTCAATGTTCTAATGTGTAAGAAAGAGAAGCACCTTGCGTTGCGCACCCTAATGTGGTCACGAGACAAACGACTACCCATGAAAACGGGTGACTAAAAATACCGAGTTGTCCCTACTGAAAGATCTCTATACTGTGACTCTCAGAATAGCGGCACACTCCATTCCAAATCGATATGGCCGCATTCGTTTGAGAACAAGATGGAAATTTTGAATTTCTTTTATAAAAATTTCCGTAAATCATTGAAAAAAAAAAAATTCTTTTCACAAAACTTATCTACGGCTACAACTTCGCTGTTTTGTTTATTCAAGATTTCTGTTTTGGACGTTTTCAAGTCATAGTTACTCTGAACAATTAACTTTTAATTACAATACTCCAGTCTCATACATGGGTTTATCCACAATAAATCTATCAAAACCAAATCTGGTAAGATCAATTGTTTTAAAATCGCCATCTAAAATAAGTTCTGCAACGGCTCTGCCAATCGCAGGTGCTTGTTGAATACCATATGAACTAAATCCAGTTGCTAAATACAAATTGTGATAGTATGGATGAGGTCCTACAATCCCACTGTCATCAAAGTAATTGTTTTCATAAAAGCCAGACCAAGAATTAGTCATCTAAAAACCTAAATTCAAAACAGCAACTTTTTTATTTGAAAGTTACCTTAATTGATTTAAATGCAGGCACTCTGTTTTCTAAAATAGGGTAGATTTGTTGGTGGAAAAATTCGTCGTTTGAAATTTCTGGCTTCTCTGAGGGCGCAACACCACCAATAAATGAACCCCCTAAACCATTCCTCCTAAAGTAAATGCCTGAATAATCAACTGTCATTGGTGTATTTATACCAGGAGGCGTCTCAAGGCAGTCAAATTTATACACATATCGATTCCTGAAGGCAAGTTATCAGACTTCACTCATCTGTGGCATTTAAAAATTTACCTAGTTTTAATTGGTAGCGGTACTGATAGCATCCCTGAACCAACCCCAATTTTTGCCAGTTGTGCTAATTCCACAGTCTCCACACCTGCAGCTATAATACAATAGGCAAATTCGATTGATCTGTGTTCTCCATCAGGCATTTTAATCTAGAAATGTGTCAAAAAATCACGTTTCAACAAGTGAGATTTACTTACAACTGCTTCATGGAGTGCTTCATAAGAATTGTCTTCCATACCCTCCCCAATATAATCGTGTCTTTCAGTGAACATAAAATCAACAACTTCAGCTTGTATGTACTGAGCTCCCAAATTAGAAGCACCATATCTCAGAACGCTTAAGACAGCCCAAGGGTCAAACCAACCTTGACGTTCCAGCCCTAATCGCCCTAATTCTACATCTGATACATTCATCCATGGAAATCTAAATTAATTATTAGTTTAAATTTATTAAAAATTATTATACACACTTTTGTTTGAGTTGATCCTTCGTTAATAACTGATTTAAAGCTCCTAATTCTTTTTCAATAACTGAATTATCTATTAATTTTTGTGCTCCTTCTTCATTGGCCAGAACTAAGTAACCTTGTGGGGTGTACCGCACATCAGCTGCAGGGCCAAATCTTTGTTTGATAGTTCTGAGAAACTCAGCACCATATAGAGACATTTGGATATTTTCGGGCAGTGAATATTGTTGGTGTAAACCACCTGGTGATAACACAGTTGAGCATTTAGCAAACTGGAAACATGCTACTAAAGAAATATATACTTAAAATGTTAAAGAAAGTACCGTCATGTCTTTTTCTACAACTATGACCCTTATGCCTTCTCTACTGGTTTTTTCTTTTAACCAATAAGCGATAGAGGAACCTATGGCACCTCCACCGACAATTAGGACATCAGCATGCCGCGGAAATAGACCCATTAAGGCACGTTCTTTTTCCTTTTCGTGTTCACTGGGTCCTTTCAAGCGTGTGAAATCCTCTTTTAAAATTCTAAGTGTCCTGAGAATTGGGTTTTCGAACTTTTCGCATTTCGTGGGTGTTGTATGCACCGAACGATTTGAAAGAAAATTGCTACATAACCTTGGGATGTGTCTGGTAAACATAGTTGTACCAATACTGAGTGGTAGTGTTGCTTAAAAATATTCACTTAATTTAAAGAAGAAATGTTTCAGTTATTATTCTGTCGCCATACATTTTAAGGTTAGAACTAAATAGGTTACCTAGGTTAACTGTCAGTTGTCAAATGTATGAAGAATTATTTCGGGAAGTGGCTATAATGCAGACACCGGTAATTATTCCGCATATTTTTAATCATAACTAATGTCTTATAAAGAATCTCAAATACTCCAAAATGTATTGAAACGTACTCCAATTAATGCATAGTCGCGATCAGAGAAAACTCGACCACTTTGATCTACACAAAATTTAGTCATGAATTTTATTTGGATTTGAAGAAAATGGCAGTGGCTTTTTTTTTAGTTTTGAAGCGTGTTTCAAAAACAAGTGGTTGGCGACCGTACGGTTTTGTTGCAATACGGTTTACCATCGTCTCACGGTTTCCCAGTTACCGTTCTGCAAATATCTAAATCGGTAGAATCCTTACAGTCTAGAAGAACACACTGAGTCATCGAAATACGTCAAGTAACTTTCGGCCAGTGGCAGAGCTGTAAAAATAAATACCGAGTGACTATTTATAACTGAAACAAATTTTTGGGTTGGCAATTCTGAATTATTGGTAGCAGTGTTAGCATGTCAGTTCACGGGGTCAATTTTGACATGAGCGAACATAAAAGCCAATGAGAAGATGGCAGTTACCGAACTGGTGTCCAAAATTTGAATTAGATATCAGGTGTGCCTTCATGAAATTTTGAATATGTTGTCAACCTAACAAAAATAATCATAAATATTAAAAGTCGTTACTTGGTCCAAATTGTGTTATATTTTTCTTATATAACTGCAACATAACGTCACGATCGCAGTGTTATATAATACCGTTCCGCTTATGTAATGTTAATGCTCCATAACACTGTTATATAACAGTAACAAATTTTGTTATATTCGTCTTATGAACCTGTAACATGACGTCATCATAACATTGTTACATAACATTATTGTACTGATGTTATGTAACTGTAATGTAACATTTTTTGTAACTTTAAGCAAACTTTGTTATAATTTTGTTGTGTAACATAAACACAATAGCAATATAACTACGGGATATAACTAGAGATAAGTAAAAGACAGATATGGTTATAGCTCTTCCGGTCTGGGGCCAACATGTATAATCTAAGAAAAGGAATACTTTGTGTCGTCTATTTTTTTCTATATCAGCACCAGTACTATGGATTACCCAGAGGTCGGGCACACATTTCGTACCCCCACTACCATCTTTTCTTCATCTAGGTATATAATATAACATATCACTGAGTCTTTTACATATCTCTGACGATAACACTTCGTGATGTTGTTACAGTTCATGGCGCGAAATTTAAATTTAAAAATCTAGCGACTACAACACTAAATTATGTCACACTCTGTCAACAATGTGTGTGTAAGCAGAGAAAAATGTTGTTACCTCGGTAGGAATCGAACTCACGCCTCTCACTTTCCGGGCAAGAATCCAGACCACTAGACCACGAGGCGACTTATCTTTTTCCGCTTACCAACGTGTTATTGCGCCGCCACAGTACACAACAATCTCATGACTAGTAAATTGTGTTATTGTATGAACCAGTAATGACTAAAATCTTAACATGAACTGTGAATTTACAGACAATAAATCAAATTTACACGTGTTAGCATCGATCGGAAATTCGCATATTTCTGATAAAAAACCAGCAATAATTGGTTACGCTTGTTGGGGAAACTGTGGCGTCGCCATCGGTACGATTTATTTTAAACAAAGTCTCTCGTTTTCCGAACTACCAAACCTACTAAACTTACCTTACCGCGTGCTTTCACTCGTACCAAACAAAAGCCACACTGATGCATCTCAACTCTCTACCAAGCAAGCCAACTTCACTACCAACCCTCTCACCAGATTACTACCCACAAATTCCCTAGAAGAGCTACCAACTACCAGAAAAAAAAAGAACAAAACTTGCACATGGTTGGTTATCTTTAACGATTTTCTTAAAATTTTTTTTCAAATTCAAATTATTCAAATGTTTTTTTTCAGCGCAAAATTTTATACAAAATTGGGACACCACAGTGTGCATTTTTTTTTTTCTATTTGATGGAAAGCGTTCAAATGCAAAGTGGTGACCCCATATATCTAATAGTACTATTAGATATATGGGTGACCCTCAAAGTTGAAAAAGTGTCCTTAAATCAAAATGAAAAATATGGAGCACAAATTTTTTATTCCATCATTTTTGAAAGCTGGAAAGGATTTTTGCAGGAAAAAAAAAGCTGCAAAAATCCTTTCCAGCTTTCAAAAATGGAATCAAATGTTACAGATCTGTACAAATATTTGAACATCACAAATTTAAACACACGATGGTGTGGCGGCAAATTTAAATTATGACAGTCGAGCAAGAAAAAATTAAGCTGAGTGAAAACATACTACACAGCGTGGGGGTGCATAGTGGTAGCGGTACGAAGGGCGTCTTCTCCTAGCCACAGTCACAACCACAACACGCGCTACGCGTTTTAAACACTTAGATTCTCGAGGCTTAGTACCATCCCCGAAAAGGACGCAGCCATCTAGATGACCTGATTCCCTAGAGTTGAAAATCCGATATTCTTTATAAACATTTATGTGAAAACGGCAGGGAGAAAAAACTGAGAATATGGTCCTGTCACATGAACCCGTGGCTTTATTTCGGTTAATGTTTGATGAGTGATTTTTTTTTTTTTTGGTTTTTAATTCTTCAAATGTGGTTTCGCAGCATTTTTTTTCTCAGCACGACATTTAGATTTCAAATTCAAGACACTATGTAATAAAAATTACGTAATGATGAGTTTCACGAAACAATACATGTTACATTCAGATAGAAATCAATAGTAATTAATCCACTAAACATTGCAATATCAAAAGAGCACTCTTACACTTCGCTGTGTAACGATCTTTTAGAGAATAAATTACACTAGCAGATATATATTTAGCTGATGTCCCGAGAATGTTAAAATCATTATCCAAGTTTCAAGTTCATACGGTTCTTATATTATATTATCGGTTAGAGTGAATTTAAAGAAATGTTCAACTATATTACTAAGAGTCAGTCACTGAAATTTTAATTTTAGAAGAAACTAAGATATCACACAACAATTATTCTAGGTTGTGTGCGATTTCTTTTGTGTACCTATCCGTATTTATTTTTAATGTATGGACGAATCTAAATTTTGCGTATTATCCAGCATATCAAGATCTGAGTATTTAATTTGGCATGATCTAACCTCAGCATTAAAAAAATCATAATCTTTGAACAATAGACAGATTAACCGATACCATCTGAAGGGGGATCTAAATAAACTCCCCATTATTGTATTCTAATTCCAGTTTAAATTCGAACGAATTAATTCTCATATTAAACTCTATTTTGCAAACTTTTCGATAGGTAGGTAGATAAAATCTTCGTTAAAAAAAAGATTCAACGAAATGCAATGCCGCGTCTATCGTTGACAAAACGTTCGATACTTTGGTGATTCAGGTTGGGGAAATGCGACATGATGGACTTAATTCCGGTCTTCTGACCCACAATGGGAGGTTTAAAATCCCCTTACCGAGGCGTGAACACGATACAGAACGTCCCTAATGCCACTCAAGTCTTCCCTACATTTATTTAAAATTAAATAAACAAGTATACGCAGCTGGATATCATACCTATTATTTGCCCCCTTAGAAAAATATTATTAAAACAGAAACAGAGGGCAGCACCTGTGGTGGCCGTTGTATTAAGCGTCGAACGAATAGAGCTGGAAATTTTGATAGAAAGATCACCACTGCAAAAGCACTGGAAATATTGAAATATACAGCTTTATCAGTTACCACCCTAAACTAAATAGTCAAATCATTTAATTTAGTTATTATCTATTTACTTAACGCATTTTACTGCATTATTATCGCTGTTGTGAGTGGGTTTTAATTCGTTTTGTTGAAAATCATTGCGCTTTTTTGATGTTCAATTTTGATGTTCAAGTCTGAAAATTTTATTGTGACGATTAAAACAAATATACATATCTAGATATAAAATGTGTGGAAAAATAATGAGCGTGCGAGGCCACATTATTTGCCCTTTATTGTTTTTGACAATAAAAAAGAGCTAAAAACTTGTAGGTTTGTAGTAATATACTGACTAACGCATTCTTTTATAAGTAGGATTGTTTGTAGAGTACAGGTGCTTGTATGCACACCTGAATATGTTATCTATTTATCACAGAAATACTTCAGAGTACACTTGGTAATTGTTTGATCAAAATTACTTTGTACAATTGAGGGTTATTATTAAAATTTTTTTAGCTCCTTCAAATACCTGCATGCATGCATTTTTATGTTAAGTATTTTATTTTATTTGATTTGTACAGAATGTTTTGTAATCACAACACTTCAGTTACCTTACTTTTTCTTATATTTTTCAAATAAACATGTTAGAGCTGAATAAGTTTTTTTTTTTTGTAGCAAATTTGTTTATCCTGTCTTTTTCGAATTATTGTTAGAATAAATCTGTACTTGAGGGCTAAAGCAAATTGAGATCATGTAAACGGGGAAATAGAGAAAATTATACGAGAAGACAGGAAGATAATGAAAGAAAACGCAAAGCTCCAAGACAAAGGAAACCTACAAGAGGAGAAAATAGAAATGCTCGAAAGGGAAAGAGAGATAAGAAGAATATAGTAATAAAAATTGGTCGAAAGTTGTTTCGACAGAACTTTCCTCGCTCCTAAAGTACAATGAAACATATGTAGCATTCTCGAGTGTTTATTTATGTTTAAACATCGAAAGAATGTCACGTAGAAATTAGTTTGATTTGAATTAAACCACAATCGAGCCAAATGATCTGAATATTATAATTCTTATTTTATCATTATTATTATTATAAAGACGAGTTTTTCATATTTTCGAGGAAATGGGGGACTCGTTCTTAATTTGACCAATAAAAAATTGGTAATGAAGTCATCAACATGGATAACACTAATCACAGCACAAAAAAAGTAGTCGCAGCGTATTACAATGCAAGAAAAAAAAGTAAACTGCCAAATTCAGCATCG